TGAATGTCATGTTTCTTTTCTATTATAGATATCATGATGAAAGCTTTTCTTCACTCGCCTATGGAGAAAAAGAGGCATGCATATAAAAGATGCAACTGGCTAGAACCTTGGTTCACATTGAAGCATGTCATCAAAGGGAGTAGTCAATTTACAGTTGCTACATGGTGTAATTAGCATCTTTTATAGAGTTTTAATTTTTATGTAAATGGGTGATAGGATTTTGAACTTTTTGTAAAATGCTGAATAGTTTCATGTACCAAATGACAGATGTGGACTTGACATGATATAAAAAGATCTTTAGAAATGTGTAACACCTGTCAATGTAGTTGTATGCTGAAATATATGCTTTTTAACGTTGATTAGGATATAAGAATATCTAAAACAACATATCTTTAGGGCGCCTAAAGCCCGTGATGCAAAAATGCCTCTCGCATGCGCGTGAGCGCGTGCGGAGAGGCTAGTCTATATATATAAAGTGAGAGCCCTAAAATGGTGAAGCTTTCCAAAATACCAAAATTGTCCCTTTGTTTCTTTCAAAATCAAAACCCCAAAAATTCAAAAAAGAAGGACAAAGTGGTAAAAAAAACAAAATAAAATAACTACATAGAAAACTTTAATCGAAAAACACAAATTAATTTTTTTTTTTTTACTATATATGTAAAAAACGAATATAAATATAAAAAAAAACAAATATGAAAACTTAAATGGAAAAACACAAATTAATTTTTTTTTTACTATATATGTAAAAAACGAATATAAATACAAAAACCTAAAATTAAAAAAGTTACAGTAAAAATTAAACATAAGAAAATTTAAAATAATGTTGGAATGAAAACAAAAAAACTTGAAAGAAAAACATGAACGTGCTTAACCAACCCTCACAAACTGATACGCAGTAGTGGGCAATTTAAGAACACAAATTAAAAAAAAAAAATCATCTTTACCACATGTGTAAAAAACAAATTTTAAAAAAAACACTGGAATTAAAAAATTTACAGTATTGTTCAAAATAAAAGTTACAGTAAATATAAAAAAAAGAAAATTAAAAAAAAATTAGCAAAGAGATCGAACGTGCATAACCGTCACAAACTGCTGCAGTAGTGGGCAGTTTTCTCCTCCAAAGATTCCACCATATGAGTTTGGTGGGAGGTTCAACACTAATCATCCACATACCACCAGTATTTAGAGATGAATAACAAAACAGATTCCGCCTTCGTTAGTCAATTTTCCCAAACAGATTAACAAAATTGCCATGGAAAATCATGTATCTAGAAAAACAGTTGCATGTATCATTAAATCTCTCACCTTCTTTTTCTCTTTTTGGGTATGATCTGAAATTTGGATTTATTTGTGAATTTTTTTTTTTAAATTTTGAAAGGGAACTGTGGGATATGATAGAGATGTAAGCAAATTTTCAATTTTCATCTATCTACATTTTGGTATGTAAATTTTTGATTTTGATACTCTATTATTTTTTATAGAGATTAGCTTGACAATTGTTTGATGTTCTTTTAGCATAGGAATATGGTCAGTCAGGCAATGACTATGAGGAATATGAGGACGATGAGGATGGTGAAGAGTATGAAGAGGAAGAGTATGATTCCAAAGAGTTTCACCCCCACTACATTTGCATGTTGCAAATTTTTAATTTGATTGAAATCCTCCATCTCATCACTCTCTTTTTCAGTGTCTAACTGGGCAATTTTCAAACTTTTTGTAATAATTTTTCAATTCTAACAGGTAATTCTCCACTTAATTGTTTAATCTTTTAATTGCTACAAGCCTACAAGTATATTGTCTTTCGAACATTCTAATTTTCCTTATGACCATAGCCCTTAATTATTGTTAAAAAAGTATTGAAGAGTCGTATTTTTTCTATGACTCCGGCTGTAATGAAGATTTTCCATAGTGGTCAGGATAGTAAAGGTTTATAGATATCTAATTTTATTCATATGTGTATTCTTTCTCATTTGCTTTTCTACTCATATGAACTTAAACTTTAAACTAAACCAATTTTAGGGTTTTACAACATTTCAAGCACACTCCTACAGTCTGGAATTCTCCCTATGTCTCTCCTCCTTTCTCTTCAATGTTTGATTGGTATTTTACTGTTATTAGGCTTTCGATTTTGGTTTTTGCCTCAATCACAGAGAGAGAGAGAGAGAGAGAGAGAGAGATGTCTTGCAAACAATCAATTGGTGTGCAATTTGCGAGGGAATTTGCTCCATTCTTTCTTTTGGTTATTTTACGTTTTTGGTATTTAAACTTTTTGTTTTACTTTGTCTTTTTTATTTTGTTATGTTCCTCTAATCCAGGAATTCGACCTATTAATATTTTTGTAAATTTTAATTATGTTTATAAGTGTTGGAAAGTGGATGCTACTTGCTATTGTTCATGAACTTTAGGTAGGAACTTGCATTTAAAATCTCATGTTGTTTGACAATTGCATGAATAACATTTAAATCATTACTTTTCGCAAAGTGAAAACGAAAAACATAACAACTTTTTAGAACGTGCATGGTAAAGAAAAAGTTCATATTTACACAATACATTTAAAATATATCTTGACAGTTACAATGGAAGAAAAACTATCATAATACACCTTTAGGGACGTGTAGCGTTCGTGATGCAAAAATAATAATAATATATCATCAATAAGAAATAAATACATTAATCAATATTTAAATAATAATTCAATCATCAATATCTACATCATTTAATTTAGAAATTTGATCTCTCTAACATAATTCATTCATAAATAGTTCCTAACTATTTTCACAAAACCGATGTCGTCGAAGCTTCATACGATATATGCTGATTTTAAGTCCAACCAATGTGTCCATATATCATATACGTGAAAACACACGAACCCGTTGCAACCTCAATATGTGGAATCATCTTGTTCCATGTTAATTGATGTACAAATTCAACAATTATGTAAACAGCTTATAGTAAGAAAAACTAATTAAAAAGATTTGAAAAGTTTGAATATTAATAAAAAAAACTAGCCTCTCTGCACGCACTAACGTGCGTGCGAGAGGCATTTTTGCATCACGGGCGCTACGCGCCCCTAAAGGTGTATTGTGTTAGTTTTTCCCATTGTAATTGTCAAGATATACTTTAAATGTATTGTGTAAAGAGGAACTTTTTATTTTATCATGCACGTCCTAAAAAGTTATCATGTTTTTCGTTTTTACTTTGTGTAAAGTAATGATTTAAATGTTATTCATGCACTTATCAAACAACATACGATTTTAGATGCAAGTTCCTACCTAAAGCCTATGAACGATAGCAAGTATATGTAAATAAATAAAAAATAGTAGATTAAAACAGTAAGTACTCGTAGCAAAATACAAAACAATTTAAATGTCAAAATAAAAAATATTATGTTCAATCATCTAATTTAGTCTTTTTGCACTTGCCCATTGTACCCAAAATATGAAATTTATGAATTGCACACTAACCATTCCACCTTTTTTTTTTTTTTTTTTTTTCGTTTGGCTGATAGAATTTGATTTCACGAAATGAGCTATGCTTGATCATTATTATGACTTTGGTAATTAAGTTACTCAGTGTAGTTAGAATTCTATTATATCCATCAGTACCATTTTACCCTTATATATTGTACAGATGTACAGAAGATCAAGAGTTAGGTTCCTTAAACTCTCATATAAAAAATTAAAAAATATGATTAATTATTTAATGTTGTATAGAAAATGTGAACTGATCAATATATTTTGTAACATGTGGATTAGTGGGTGTATTAAAAGGGTGCACAACAACATTTTTTTATTATGGTGGACAAAAAGGTATTATGGGCAATATTTGGCGTCATTCGAGCAGGTGGCAGATCATTTATTCAATGGCTGTGTGAATGGGATAGTTGATGCGGTTAGAGGAGTGAGTACATAATTATGGGTGTGCCATTTTGGGTTGGGACTGAGATGTTCAACATTAGAGCATGGGTCAGGCTATGTAGTTCCAATTGCTTGAGTTGAAGAAAGGTTGATGAGATAATGGTGTTACCGTACAATCATCCAATCATTCCAAAGTGATAATGGTGTTATCGTATGCCATATTGTCATATTGCCACGTTTGTTGAAGAATTTAGGAGCATATATTCCATCCAATTTGCACATATGTGAGTAATCTCTCATACATTTTTTACTATTTTTTCTTTAAAACAACAATGAAGATAAAATGAGAAAACATATACTATTTATAAATAAAAAAAATCTGAAAATATGACATGTAATTTCATTTCTAAATACATATTGACAACACTTAATGTCCTTAAATCAAAATGTTTTAGATTCATAAGTTTTCAATCAAAGTTATAGGCTAGCTAGGGATGAACTCCTAATATATGAAGCAAAGCAAAATATGGACAACATGTACATATGTAAACATAGCGTCTACGTGTGAAATCAAAGCCATGATTGCCACCCATTTGCTTGCACTTGATGCTTTAGATTTTCATGGTTAATCTGCAAGCAATAATGATAAAATAAGAAGTCTAACTGTAATGCACAATCCCAACTGTAAAGATTGTAAGCAACATAACCTAAATACCTTTAAGTTTGACAATTTTCTCATGGCAATATTTTTACTCCAGTTACTTGTAGAATACTGAAAGATAAATATATTTGTCAAGTTTGAGGTAACAAACTGTAACCATATTTACAAAATTAAATAATAAGAAATATTACCTTAATCTTGTACTTCAACCTTTGCACTTTGAGACGGGTGTGATGCTTGTAAAACTAACAAAAAATGCAATTTTATTTATATTTGAAAATTGAATGCAATTTGAATTTATAGTATACTTTTGTATGAAAATAAGAGAAGACTTACCGTATTTAGAAAAGTTGTTTGGCCTCTGTTAATCTTTTTCCTGCACCCATAAATTGTTTTATTTTATTTTATAATTTGAGATAATTAATTTGTAGAATGATATAGAGAATGCCAATAAAAATAAACAGGTAAGAAATGGTGTTGTACCTAATTTGTTGGACTTTATTCCAAATACGTATGATTTGAGGAGTTGTTGAAGGTTTTAATTCTTCTACAGCCTTTTTCATGCGCCACCTATATATTGAAGGTATATATAAAATAATTAAGTTCCTTGTAACAAATTTAGTATATAATTTAGGATACATACTGCTCATGCTTCTTCTTTTTCCACTCTTTGAGAATCAGTTGGCTTAGATCAGTAGTTTTTACTCCGACAGATATCTCCCAACCAGGTGTAAAAATAGAGACACGTCTGTTTGGGATCTTATGAATAGGTAGTTCCTTCTTCATTTTTTGTGGGTATTCTTGTAAATATCCTGAGAATGAAAACAAATAATTTTTAAAATTACCATAGCACACATATAGCACATTAATATAATCAAAATTGAAACTCATAATCTAACCGATATTTTAAAAAACGCACAATGAAGATTCCAAAGGAAGAAGTTAAAAGAACCCATATGAAGCTAAACCTGGGAATTCATACAATTACATATTATGCTTGCATGAAAATGTGTAAAATGAGTACAACCATGCAGGAAAAAGAAGTGAAAAAAAGAAACTTACACCTAGATTAATTTCCTTTTTATTCCTGGGGAGAAGAAGTGGGAGAAGAATGGCAAAGCAAAAAAGCGAAAAAATTGAAATAAAGAAGAATGATGACTCGGGCGTTGCTTAATACCAGTTTTATCCCACGTTAGAGCGCAAGGGATCGTGAAATTGGAATGGTTGAATGTAGAGTGTGTAGAGTAACTCATGGACATTATTGCCAGATAAATATTGATCAATATGTTTGATCATTTGTTTTTATTATTATTTTCCAGTTTTTACGGTACTACAGTGTGTGATATTGTTTATGAAGATTGGATGGTATCTGATTGTCCAGTTACTCATCATTGTATAATAATTTGTTGTTGATTTTAGCTATCTGGCTACCATGTTTATTTATTTGTTTATATTGTTTCTACTTTTTTTTTCTCAATTTTTAAACGTTAGGTGAGGGTTGATGACTGATTTTAAACGTTATTTATCAAACTGCTTTTTGCTCAACGTGGGTGCAGTTTTCATTTTCCACGTTCCATTTTTTATTTGAGGGATTTCTCGTGTCTCTTTTGTATTTTTTTTATCAATTCTTTTTTTGCCGAATTTTTATCAATTTTTTTTCAATAAAATAATATATTGGTAGTTCAGTTTGATTAGAAACTCTGCTTTTTGCTGAATGTTGGGTGCAATTTTTCAGTTTCACGTTTTATTTTTTATTTGAAGTATCCGTCCTTTTTTATTTTTTATTTTTTTTCATTTTTTCCCAATAAAATAAACTTTTACAAATTTTTATACATTTATATGGGATAATAATCTCTCTCCTAAAATGGAGGAGGATTGGGGTTATTCCCTTTTCTAGTGAGATTTAATACACGTCTTCCCCATTTTTATTGTTTTATTTTTTGTTTGATCTAATATAATGAATTTTAGATTTATGTTTTTTGACAAAATTGCCCTTGTGTGTTTTCATGTATCAAATTTGGTCAGTTCTAATTTTTTTTGTTTAAGAGGCTTTTCAGTCCAATTTTTTTTGGTGAAGCTTTGAGACACCAAATTGTGCTTCTGACTTTCTAATATTAGAGATATGTTGATATATATCTTACCCTTTCCCATTCCACATGCAAACTGCTTTGTCAATTTTATGTTGCCACAATTGTAAGAACTCAATTTAAAAACAAACTCCATTTGAATGAAGCCACCTATTAAGAAATCAAATATTACTCTGATACACATAAACTATGGACTAACCTGGGAGCGAAGATTATTAGTTTTAACCCCCAACAGCTCAATCTTCTCACCGCAATCAAGAACCTGCAAAACATATGAATTTTGATGACTAAAAATCGATCCACATTTACGTACATGTAATGAAAATGGAAAAGGAATATGAATAGTAAAAAGGAATTAGACTGAGAAAAGTCAGAATGACTATTCTCCAAATGAAACAGGCATCAAGTTCAACAATTGAAAAGCATATTACGAACTTAAATGAAAAGCCTAAATACTCTATAGCCATTCTACCAAAGGAAAAAAAACTCTATACCCATGTTTTTACCTTTTTATCCATCTACGTGGTAGTTTTGTTTTGCTAGAAGACTACAAATTGAAATAATTGTTTTTTTTTAAATCTGAATCATGTAAGAGTATTTTTGGATTATGGTGATTTCAAAATTTTTGCCTTTTGTATTTATATATATAGAAGAAGAAAATATAATAATAGTAATAATATTATAAAAAATCCCGGCAAAGAAATATTGCATACCAAGAAATTGAAAGAAAGCAGGATAAGGAGGGAGATCATGAGATTTGGCCTTAATTCATCAAAAGCTTGGAACTGCAAGAAAAATAATAATCAATAAATGGTTGTTATAAGCACATGAATAAGAATGCAGGGATTATAAATAATAAGATAGAATCTCACACAGAAAGGATAAAACAACAAAGAATTAAAGCCAGAGAGATTTAGTGAAATCGTTACCATTTGTAATCCTATCATACGGTTACAAATATATAAAAATTGCTAATATACAAACCAATGAAGTGAAACACCTTATCTATATATATAGAAGAAGAAAATATAATAATAGTAATAATATTATAGCTTGAAATACAAACAAAAGGTTTGGAAAAACCTGGTTTCTGTATTTTTTTTTGCATTTGGAATTGAAAAGAACTCGAGCAAACACTGAAAAGAGAGCCAACATAATGAAACCTAACCATTTGTTTTATACTGCTGCTTCAAAAAAAACTACAATTCTTGTCTTCGGTAAGCCTCACATATTCATCATCGGGGTGTTTTATTTAATTTTTTTTTTTTTTTTTTGGGACATTTCAGCACCTAAATGCAATGACATTTGCTTTGACATTTATCCTATCTAAGATCCCACCTGCTATCAAATCAAAAAGAAACGAACTTCTGCATGAAAAAAAAAAGTCATGAGAAGTCTTGCATTCGGTCCAAGAGAAACAAACTGAATCAGTTTTAGATACTTGCAAGGCTTTAGCCAGAAACAATACGTTGTTTAATTTGGTGTACACGATTAAAGATACAATAGCAATAGCAAATACAACGGAGAGATTGAGAGAAGGAGTAACCATCAGCATCGGCAACAGCCATTTCGACATCTTGCAGAGTTATCAGTCCCTTCATCATAGCCTCCCTTTGATGCTAAAATCAAAATTAAATTACATAAAAATAATAGGGAAATAAAATAAAAACCCAAAAATTATCAAATTATAGAAAACCAAACCGAATTTAAAGAAAATGTGCGGGAGAGAGACTTACCGATTTGTGTACATTCTTAGCATGCAAATGGGTGAGAACTGAAACCTGTAGAGAAATAGTAGTGAAAGAAGGAGAGAATATGGAGTGGTAGGCTGCAGTTAGAAAGCAGAATGAATAGAGTTGTACGTGGAATTGTGTGAGGAAGAAGTTTGATCAGAAAATGGGGGAATAGAAGATAGACGTGGGTTGTATGGAAACTGCTATGCAGTTTGAAAATTAAACGTGCTAATCCTGAAGATTTTTCTCCCGTTGTTCTCTCTCCTAAAATGGAGGAGTTATCTGTTTCTTTTTCTTTTTCTGTTAATAAAACAAATTTTATATTTTTGTATTCTGACAAAAATGTCCATGAGTTTTTTAATGTATTTTATTGTGTCAGTTTTTGTTTTTTTTTGTTTGAGGGTTATTTTAGTCTACAATTTTTTGGTGAAGCCTTGAGACACCAAAGTTGATTGCTGGCTTTCTAATATTAAAGATTATGTTTTATCTTTATTTAATGGTTAAGACAAAACCTAACATTAAATAAATCCAATTAAAATGGTCCAAACAATGATTTTTCAATTTTACCCCTGCCTTTTTCATTTAATATCTTTCTTCTGGGTAGGATTATATTAATTATTTTATAACAAGAAAAAGATAAAATAAAGGAACGTGGGAAGAAATGATGGAAAGAGAAGAAGAGTCTTAGTTCCTTTCTTCCTTCTCCCTTCCCCTCTGTCTCCCCCATTTCTTCGTGAATCCTCACTCGTACAATGCAATAAATTTTGGAAAATCAAGGATTTCATGAAATTTGGCGATTCGGTGGTGAGTTAGGTGCATCTCTAATCAGATTACACAAAAGTTGAAGAAAGAAATGAAAAACACACATGGGTCACTATAAAATTCGTCGATGTCGTCCTTGTGGTTGTTGGGGAGACTTTCTCATCAACCAAATTACAGAGAGACTTACAAGTACGATTATCTCTGCAAGAGCAGAGGTGACTTGCTCGTCACTTTGGGAAGAGCTTCATACTGGGCAGGTTCCAATTCATCCTTGTGGTTGTCGGTGAAGGAGAGGAAAGGAGAGGTTGGGGAAGGTGAGAAAGGGGAGAGAGAGAGAGAGAGAGAGAGAGATGATGGAGAAAAAGAGAACAGGGAATTCATTTACCGAGGGAAATAAAATGTCCATAAGTGAATTAATTATTTTATTAATAAAAATATTAAATAAAATTAGTATTTGCCTACACACTTTGTATGTATGAATATATTTTTTTAGGAAATGAGAAGGAAGGAGGGAGGGAGGGAGAGAGAACGTGGGGGAGTGAGAGGTTTTTGTTTTTGGTTTTGGTTTTGGTTTTTTCTTTTTTTTTTTAATTTTAAATATTAGAGATATTTTAGCATTATCTGTAGTTGATGCTTCAATAAAAAAGGGTACAATTTAGACCTGTGAAATTACATTATTGTCCATTATTTTTTTGTGTGATAGAAGACTAAGTTATCTTTTCATTCTCTTTTAATTGACAAAGAGGATTTCATTAATTATTAGATATAATGATTAAAAAGCTAAACCAGCAAAATTGAAAAAACTGAACATTAAATAAATTTTAAAAGGGAATTGTTATTGGCACTTCAAAAATCTTATTCTGCACTTCAAACTTTCTATATTTGGAAAGAAAAATATACTTGTGAGAGTGTAGAATGAGATTTTTAGAGTGTCAATAACACTTCCCTTTTAAAAATGTTAAAACAGCATTAAATGTATGATTTTAAACATTTTTATATACAAATCAAATATAGAATGAATCAAATATTGAACTATTTATGTCTCCTCTATTGCGAATGATACTATAAGTTACTAGCAAATCTCGTAACCGAACCGAACTGCGAACTTGAACTATACTCCGTATCTAGTAACTATGGCCCAACCAAATCATTTCTAATCAAATAAAATAAATGATTTTTGTGTTTGAACAGTGGCTTACATAATATACATCGCATACATTTTCTCGGTAACCGAACACAATTGAGGAAATGGAAATTACGAACCTGAACAGTGGCTTCTGTTATGAAATTAAACCAAAATAACTCACAATATTTCTGATACTAAACCAAAATAATCCAAACTATCCCACACGGCAAAATAACCTAACTATTTCTGAAACTAAACCAAAATAATACACATTATTTCTGGAACTACAACAAAATAACCCACACTAGTTTTGAAACTATAGAAAAATAACTTAACTATTTCTGAAATTGAACCAAAATAATACACATTATTTCTGGAACTACAGCAAAATAACCCACACTATTTTTAAAAACTATGGCAAAATAACTCACACTATTTCTGAAACTTAACCAAAATAACCCTCATTATTTCTAGAACTACAGCAAAATAACTCACACTATTTTTGGAACTGAACCAAATAACCCATACTATTTCTGGAACTACAACAAAATAACCTATACAATTTCTAAAACTATAGCAAAAATAATCACACCATTTATGAAAGTAAACCAAAATAACCCAAACTATTTATAAAATTACAGCAAAATAACCCACCATATTTCTGAAACTACAGCTAAATAACCTCCACTATTTCTGAAACTTAACCAAAATAACCTACATTATTTATGAAACTACATCAAATTAACCCACACTATTTCTGAAACTGAACCAAAATAATCCATACTATTTATGAAATTATAACAAAATAACACACATTATTTCTGAAACTGAACTAAAATACTATAGATTACCACTAATTTAATTAGAATACTATGGATGATATAGCCAATCCCAATACGTTGCAAACTTATGGTAGTCTTAATAAACGAACCACCTACTATAACACGAGTATACTAAAAGTACTGCAAGAAAAAATGTTTATTAGTACCGGAAACACTGAACACATGATTAGTTAATTATATAATTTCCAAAAAATATTAGAAGTGATCTAATCTTTTCGATAAGGAATAAAAAAGCATTAATATGATAGCAATAGCAAGACAACAGTTTTCACCTATCACAAGAGAATTAAACATTCAAAATAGAAAATAACAAAATAGCAAACAAAAGGAACCAGTCAACATCTTAATGCTGAAATTCTGTTAATCGATATGGGATAAAGCTGGAGAGGTGGCTGGGAAAGGGAGCTCAAATAATTCCTTGTGATTTGGAAAGTGCCCAACAAACGGGCATCATGTAATAAAATGTAGTAAAACGCAGTAGCAAATATCACAACGTTCAGGGGTATATTGGAATACTAGAAAAAGGTTAAGGATGTAACTTTGCTTTGGAACCTCAAACTTCTTTTTTGGTATGAGAGATTAAACCTGAGTCTTCAGCTCAACGACACGTACTTTCACGTCACTTAATATGTGTTATTCACATGTTAAACTAAATGATGTCACATATGAAAAACGTGTTGAAACTTGAGAATGTGAATCTCAAATAAAAAAATTAAACCGAGCTGGAAAATTAAGCAAGCGAGTGGACAGAATAACATTCTTTATAAAACCCCAACCGTTCAACCCAATGCCCACCAATAAAACCATGATTCATACAAAATTAAAAGCCCAACCCAATTTAACCAAAAAGGTCCACATCACAAGCGTTGATCCATGGACCAAATAGAAACAGCATAGCATATGTGCGATATAAGATCCAACACACACACTCGCTCAATCTCAACCGTTCATCACCAACCTCATTAAATCATCTTGGTCATTCTTATTTGGATGGTCTATTTTACCCCTCTCCGCATATGAGGTCCGCGAACTGGAGCTCTCCTTCATTTCCCACCTGAGCATTCTCGCGTCTTTTCCCCCAGTCTCGTTCTCGTCGATTACCTGATTCGGCGACGCATCGCGTTTCGTCCGGCGCAGCTCCACCATGGTACGCAAACGACATCTCAATTCGTCCACATTTTTTGATGAATTTTTTTTTTCAGGCTTATTATTCACCTCCCCAGGTTTAACACTGATTCAGCTTCGCTTTCATGTTGTGTCAGTCCGTGATCGTTTTGTATGTTAATTTTCTCTGAAATGTTTGGTTTTAGTAGATCTGATATGGGGTTTTCTGCTTTTTTCTGTTTCTGCTATCTGTTTGTTTGGTGGGAAAATTGAGGAAAATAGCTGGAAAGGGATAGAAAATCGAATTTTGAATAGCTAGTTAGGTTTTCACCGAAACAGACAATTCCGGATGCCCTCAGACAGACAATTCCAATGCCAATGATACGAAGAGCTAGCTTTGATACGTATTGGAGCTCTCATTAGCTGAGCCCGTCTTTTCTTTGGCCTGATTGGAGAAAGGTTCTGACTTTAGGCTTCAAATGGATTGCGAGTATTCGGTCTACATGATTTACCACCTCCATCATTAACGTTTTTGTTCGGATAAAAGCAGCGTGGGGACTAGCGGGGAGTCCTCTTAGGCTTATTGGGTTAATTCAATGTAGGTCTAGGTTCAATTTTGTGTGAGACTATCCTCCAGGTCAAACACGTGTAGCTTGGTGTAGGCAAATTAAAAGGGAATACTTATATGGTTAAGATGTCCTAGGAATGATGAATTGAGGTTGTACAAGCTGCATTTCAATCTTATAGCACGTGTACTCGTATTGCCTTCTTCATGAAATGTAGAATCTTTAAGAAATGAATGTTGTGGATATGCCACAGCTTTGTATTAGTACCAATGTTACACCATGGTTCTGGCTGTGTAATTTGATGTTGGATTTTTCATGCATGTTTCTGTGAAGTTGTTTCATGTCAACTGTATTTTGTTTTTCTTGTTAGCTCTGAAGAGTTATAGGCATAGGTCACTTTGGAGAAATAAACTAAGTCTGACTTCTTGTTAATTTGTAGGCACCCATCAAGGGTATACTTTCTCTGCAGAGAGCAGCTTTAGCTTGTCATCATGGTGCGAAGTGGGGCCTAGCGTTTAGATCATTCAGCACTCAGGGAGCAGCACCCTCTACTACTGCTCAACCTCCACCTCCACCTCCACCACCACCCGAGAAAACTCATTTTGGTGGTTTGAAAGATGAGGACCGGATTTTCACCAACTTATATGGGTTGCACGATCCATTTCTCAAAGGTGCCATGAAACGAGGTGACTGGTACCGAACCAAAGATCTAGTTATTAAAGGTGCTGATTGGATTGTCAATGAAATGAAGAAGTCTGGCCTACGTGGACGTGGTGGTGCTGGTTTCCCAGTCTGGTCTCAAATGGTCTTTTATGCCAAAAGTATCCGATGGCCGTCCTTCCTATCTAGTCGTCAATGCTGATGAAAGTGAACCTGGAACCTGTAAGGACAGGGAAATTATGCGCCATGACCCGCACAAACTTTTAGAGGGTTGCTTGATTGCTGGTGTTGGGATGAGGGCCAGTGCTGCGTACATCTATATAAGAGGTGAATATGTGAATGAACGGTTGAACCTTGTAAAAGCTAGAAATGAAGCTTATGCAGCTGGATTACTGGGAAAAATGCTTGTGGATCTGGTTATGATTTTGATGTTCATATCCACTTTGGTGCTGGTGCCTATATTTGTGGTGAAGAAACAGCGCTTCTGGAGAGCCTTGAAGGGAAACAGGGGAAGCCAAGATTGAAGCCTCCTTTCCCTGCTAATGCAGGATTATATGGCTGCCCCACCACTGTTACAAATGTGGAAACGGTGGCTGTTTCTCCCACCATTTTAAGGCGTGGACCAGAGTGGTTTGCCAGTTTTGGGAGAAAGAACAATTCAGGGACAAAATTGTTTTGTATCTCGGGACATGTGAACAAGCCTTGCACTGTTGAAGAGGAAATGAGCATACCCTTGAAAGAGTTACTAGAGAGGCACTGTGGAGGTGTGAGGGGCGGATGGGACAACTTACTTGCAGTAATTCCAGGTGGTTCATCTGTTCCATTGCTTACCAAGGATATATGCAATGATGTATTGATGGATTTTGATGCACTGAAGGCTGTCCAGTCAGGATTGGGAACTGCAGCTGTTATTGTGATGGATAAATCGACTGACATTGTTGATGCAATTGCAAGGCTTTCTTACTTCTACAAGCATGAGAGTTGTGGGCAGTGCACACCGTGTAGGGAGGGGACAGGATGGCTTTGGATGATCATGGAAAGAATGAAAGTTGGGAATGCAAAGCTGGAAGAGATTGACATGCTTCAGGAGGTGACCAAGCAGATTGAGGGGCACACAATCTGTGCGTTGGGTGATGCTGCTGCTTGGCCCGTGCAAGGTCTAATAAGGCATTTCAGGCCAGAGCTTGAGAGGAGGATCAGGGAGCGTGCAGAGAGGGAATTGCTGGAGGCAGCTGCTTAAGTGCTTCTCTCAGGTTGCTTCTTGTATCTATTCTGCATTCATTTCTTCATTCAACTTCTAAAAAGAAGTAAATAAGGGAGAAAAACAGTACTAGTAACTTCAACTTGGGTACATTGGAATATGTTTGTTGTTGTCTTGTTGTAAGGCCACGCAACAGGTGGCCTGGTCTGGTTGGCTGAATCTAGACGTCTATGGGCTAAATAAATTGTCTCTTGGTCTAATAAAGGGTTCTGCTGTGTAGGTTAAGCTTGTTTTAGTGGAAATCATGGAATAAAATGAAGTACGTGCCCCAGATTTCGGGAGGATAGGTGAATCGGGAGGCAGCTGGTGGTCCAGCTGCTATTGTTTTTAAACTGTATCTCGACTATTTGACCTCACATTCCCAGAGACACTGTGATTCATTGTGAATGCGTCTGGGCAGGATATTTATGTTGTGTTTCTAGATCTTGTTTTCCCTTACACAGTTGGAATTTTGTTAATAAATTTTCGTTTTTCGCTTCCCTGCTTTGATAGATATCCTTCACGAATTCAACTTTAAATCTCAAAACTAAGAGATTACCAAGTTCCTAAACTTCAAGGGATCTATGCTGCATTGGTAAGAAATGCACTACGAAATATTCAACTGAGAGGTCAAAAATGCACTTCATGAGCATTACAGAGGCACTACACAAAGAATTTTCAAGCCGTTGTTTACAAATCCCTGTTAGCGCGTTCTAGTCATTTTAAATCCATCTATATAATGGATCGGAGTGCATTTGTTACTAATGTAGCCTTGATCCCTTGGTACTTGGTATGGCAATGGCTTATGTGGTACACACCATGAGACTCGCCAAATTGCATATATGATATGTAACTCATCAAAGCCGGGTAAATTATTGAGTGTGACACATGTTAACATATGAAAGCTTTATCAAACAAATCAAACAAAGTTGAAAAATCAAATAAACCCTAGATCAAATCCCTTAATTATGCTTTAATTGAATCCTTAAAGCACCCAATCTCCATTGGCAAGAATCTCTGGCATCTATACCAACGTCCATTTCAATAAAGCTGAAGGGGGTGGTTTCCCACCGTTTGATAAAGAAAGAAAAGCTTGACGTGGATGCTTCAACCTCTGTCGTCGGCTAACGTCGCATAAAGCCATCCAATAATTATTAATTATTAGCTTTGTATCACGACCAAAGGACAGCATTGCTGGACTCCCATCAAATCAACGAATTCCACCAACAAATGGAAGTGAGATAGTTGTCTCACAACCATTTTATTTTGGGAGGTGAATTTATCAGTCTTACTCTCTTTTTGCAAAATTCTGTTTATTATAAGCATTTTTTAGTACAATTATTTTTTTGTTGTAGTTTAATTAAATTAACGAATAAATTTAAAATATAAACTTAAAATCGGTAAAATATTGATTGTCTATGTTTAACTCATTTATTTGGAGATAGTATACGAGAGGACTAAATATGTCAAGAAAGGTAGGTAATGGTCCAACTTTTTGTTTGAGTGGACAGAGAGCCCAGTGAACTGATCGTATGAGCCCAGATCGATCGGATCAGGCGAGAGCCAGAGAGCGAGAGGAGAGAGACAGTTGCTTCCTTCCTTCCCGCACATCGCGGTTGTCAACTTACCATCTCCCTCTGGTTCCTTTTTCTCCAACGACCTTCTCCTTCCTCTTCCGTACCCACCTTTCCCCTTCCAATTCATTCTTCCACATTCTGTAAATATACACCCACGCACTCACAGAAAGAAGAGAAGAGAGAAAACAGAGAAGCAGCTCGCTTTTCTTCACTCTCTTCTGCATTGTAAGTTCACTCGCATCTCCTTCATTTGTTCAAAGCTCCCATCTCCATCAAACTCTCTGCAATTCCCAACTTTACGTCCGATTGCCTCTCAATTTTACTGTTATTCCGATCTAGTAGTACGAAGTTGCATTTTTCTACGCATCAATGCTCAGATTAAAAGTCAATTTTTTGTTTTGTTTTTGTTTGCTGTTAATTGATTCACTGCTGCTATTCTCATCACCCCTGTTTGCCTGTTTCAATTTTTGCTAATTTCATTCGCATTTTTATGTAACGCGGAGGGAGGTCAGAGATTTTGTCACCATTTTTAATATAAAAATATTAAAATTAAGCTGGATGAGTGGGGTGGGTGATACCCAAAATTTATTCAATTTAAACCCCTCTCCACGTTTGTACTTGTTTTGTCTTTGATGGTCAAAACTTGAACTGCCCATTATTTTTTTCTATTGAAATTCATGACGGTTGAATTGCATCTTTTGTTGGTATTATATTACATTCAAAAGTCAAAAGCTTGGATATACTTTACATCCCATTTGTTTGTATCTGATTTTGTGATGTATTTTTATATGTAAGGAGGTTTGATGGATGTAGAAGCATTGTAAGTTTGTAACTGGTTCTACCCATCAGGAGCTGTCCCGGTGCTTTTCGTGACAATGGTTCTTGGGATAAGATCAAAGAGCAGGAAGAGCGCGGCCGTTGAGGTTGATTACCTCATCCATGTGCAGGAACTCAAGCCATGGCCCTCGTCTCAGGCTTTGAGATCTGTTCAGTCTATTATGCTTCAGTGGGAAAACGGTGATCAGGTTTCTGGATCGTGTATTTGCAATGTTGGTGATGGGAAGATCGAATTTGGCGAGTCTTTCACGCTTCCAGTCACTTTATACAAGGAGAAATCAAGAAAAAACGCAGTTCGCGACACTTACCAGAAGAACAACTTGGAGTTTTACTTGTATGAACCTCGAAAGGACAAGGGAGTGAAAGGTCAACTCTTGGGGTCGGCTGAGATCAATCTTGCAGACTATGGGATCATTGTGGAAACCCGAAATGTGAGCACTCCGCTGAACTGGAAGAAGAGTTTTAAGAGTTCAGCGGAAACGGTTCTTTCTGTTAGTATTCAGCCGTGTGGTAAACCGAGCTCCAGCTTGACACCAAAGAGCAGCTTGTCCAGAGAAGAGTCTCTGGAAAATGAGGGAACTGAATCTGTTCCAGGGTCTGTGAATGATGGCACTGACGAGATTGCCTCTTTTACCGATGATGAGTTTGATGATGATGTTTCCTCGCATCCATCACACACTGTAAACTCCTCGGCTGTTGAGACAACAGTCAGTTCATCACCTAGCGGTGAAAAGGTATGTGAAGTCATTTTTAAAAGTTCTCCCTTTTAGATCAGTTTCTTTGCTTAGCTGCTCTTATAATTTAAAAATATGATATCTCCAGTTGCATCAAAACTATATGTAGAATTAGGTTTATGGAATTTAATTTAGTTTCAGATCCATGGTTGTAAAATGAATAACCTCATCGCTGATATTAAGGTCTTCAAATACAAATTCTGAGAACCCAAATAGTATGACTTTAAGTACCAGCACAACCATCCTTTTCATAATCATTCTCATGTGTATGTCCAAAGAAGTCCAATTTACTTTTGTTTGTCCGTTACTTCTGCACCAATCAAATATTGGACAATAACTTCCCTGACAGTGTTCATCCCGATGGTTGCTTCTCTTTATCTGATTCAATTCATTTGTGTATTTTCAGATTGTTTAACCTCCATATATAATTAATTTCAGAATGTACTAGAATCAACAGCCAATGGCACTAGGAGGACTTATGGGGAGCCTGCTGTACAGTCAATAGCAGCACCTGCAAGCACAGGGGTGACTTCAGTGGCTAAAGCATTAGAGCACCAAAATGGAAGTTCATCTCCACTGTCGTCAATAGGCTCTTCCTCCATTCTGCTGAATTCTGCAAATGATCGTGCTTCTTTGCCTAACAGTTCAAAGGAGAGTGTTTCAATGCCAATCCTGAAAAAATCAATCACCCACTCTGTTCTTTCAGTGTCTTCACCCTTTGGCTATCAAGACAGCCATCAGGAATCTGGTTACCATAATTTTAAGGACAACAGAATTCACATAACTCGTTCTAACAGAAGTGCCAGAATGCATGAAAATGCTCAAGATCTGATCAAGGACAATATTGTCCGTAACCATGCTGCTGAAGGTTCATCCTCAAGCACATCTATTCAGGAGGACACAAACTCCACATTTGCAAGCAATGCAGATTCACAAGCCTTTCGAGAGGATGGTCATCTCTTAAAGGCAAATCAGTATACTTTTGATGACAAATTAGCTTCTCGATTTTCACAAGATGCTACCAGAAAACAAGTCAGGTTAAAGAGTGAAACTTTTACACCCGGCAGGAGAGTTGTTGGAGTGCAGGGAAGTAAGGTTAAAAGTAATGAACTAAAACATGTAAAGTCTGTGCAGTTACCTTTAGTATCAGCTCAGAACAATAGACAGTCAAGCAATAATGAGCTTCTCGAAAAGTCAAAGGAAGCTGAAACTCCTAAAGATGCTTATGTTTATGGTAGAATTAGCGCGACAAGTGAAAGAGAACAAAAAACAGTCAGCTTTTCCGATGGCAAAGTTGACTTGGAGTCTACAATTGAATTGCTTAAGGAAGAACTGAGAGAAGCTGCTGCTGTTGAGATTGGCCTTTACTCTGTTGTCGCTGAGCATGGGAGCCACACAAATAAGATTCATGCTCCTGCTCGTCGACTTTCTAGATTCTATTTTCATGCTTGCAAAACAAGCTCTGGAGCTAAGAAGGCAAATGCAGCAAGAGCTGCTATCACTGGACTAATCTTGGTTTCTAAAGCATGCGGAAATGATGTTGCAAGGTATTAGAGCTAAATAAATGGAAACTGAACTCACCATTTTAATTTACTGGCAATGCCTTATCAGTAAAAGAAATGATGTCCAAGATTAATTCATATGCATTTTTGTTTTCTTTTCTTTTTTCTCTTGATGATCCTAATCATTTGATGCTTTGAGTTCTAAACATCTTCCAGAATGCGAAGATAATTATCTTTTAGTTTGACGCTTCACTGTATGTTTTGTTGCCAATGAAAAGGTTGATATTCTGGTTGTCGAATTCAATTGTGTTGAGAGCTATTGTCTGCCAGTCCTTGCCCTGCAGTAAAGGTGGCGCTGAGGGGGCTTTAAAAGCAAAGAATGGGTTTCTTCCTCACAAGGAAGAGAACAATTGCACTCTTGAAAGTTTTGATGATTGGGAGGATCCGCAGATATTTATGGCTGCTTTGGAAAGGTTTGAAGGTTGGATCTTCTCCCGAATTGTTGAGTCTGTATGGTGGCAGGTAAAACCCATATTATTTTCAGTTTTCTTCATTATTGGCATCATCACCTCTTTTCATTATCTCACTATTGAGCTCTACCTACAAGAATTTAGCCTAGATCTGAAAGCCGTTGCTATTCATGACAGATACGTATCTTGTTTTCCCTCTTCAGAATATGACTCCATATATGCAGTCAGCGGCTGCGAAGGGCTCAAGCTCAAGGAAAGCCAATGGAAGGAAGCATGGTTTGGGTGGTCATGAGCAAGGTAACTTTTCTATGGAGCTGTGGAAGAAGGCCTTCAAAGATGCCTGTGAAAGGCTCTGTCCTGCAAGAGCTGGTGGACATGAGTGTGGCTGCTTGCCTCTGCTGGCTCGTTTGGTAGGTTTATGCATCATAGTCCCTTCCTCAATGTGTACGTTGAGCTTTTCACTTCACCTGGGAACTCCTAAAGGTTATCATAGAACACTGTGCATGAATGTAGTTGAAAACTTGGTGCAAATGCTATAGGTAGCCAGAGCTACACCACCAATGTTTAAATGAAAATATATCTAATGTTTTATTTATGTATCGAACTCTCAATAGAATTCCAGGACTTCGTTATAGTGAGCTTTTACTATTGCGGTGTGTTTCCAAATGTCATTTAAAGATCTGTCACATGGTTTTTCTACTTTCCTCAAAATTTATGCAGACTTATAGAATGCTAATCTATGGTTTTTCAGGTAATGGAGCAATTAGTGGATAGATTGGATGTGGCTATGTTCAATGCTATTCTTCGTGAAAATGCTGAAGAGATGCCCACAGATCCTGTGTCCGACCCCATAAGTGATTCTAAGGTTCTCCCTATTCCAGCTGGAAAGTCGAGCTTTGGGGCTGGTGCACAGCTAAAAAATGCGGTGAGTGTGGACCTCATCTTGTGAGGTTATTAGTCACATTGTTTTTTCGGTTGCCGGTGAAAAGTCACAATTTTTATTTTTGGAAAAAAAAAAAAAAATAGTAGTCTTGCATTTCGTTGATGGAAGGATTGTGCTTGTTTTCATGACCGCAGATTGGAAGCTGGTCTAGATGGCTTACTGATCTATTTGGCATTGATGATACTGATGCCCCTGATGATAATACTGAACTCAGTGATCACAAGGGACAAGAGTGCCCAACATCCTTTAAAGCTTTCCGTCTTCTTAATGCTTTGAGTGACCTCATGATGCTTCCATTTGATATGCTGGCAGATAAATCCACCCGGAAAGAGGTAAAGACTGGGATTGTGTCCATGCCCCACAGTTAATAAAAGAACACCAAGTTTATATAACTCCCTGCCATTTTGTAATAATCACTGTTTCATGGATTTCTGAAGGTATGCCCTACATTTGGTGCATCATTGATCAAGAGGGTTATATACAATTTTGTTCCAGATGAGTTTTGCCCAGACCCAATTCCCACGGCAGTTTTTGAGGCTCTTGATTATGAGGTACCTAAGAGGCCCTCGAATATCTCGACACGTAACGATTCAGCTTATTTACTGAACTTCATTCCTGTTCGAATGGTGTAGGACTGATTTGTTATCCATTTTGCTTGTTATTTATTTAGGAGAATTCAGATGCTAAAACTGACTCTGCTGCAAGTTTCCCATGCAACGCAAATCCTACAATCTATTCACCACCTCCAGCTGCTTCACTATTAAGCATTATAGGAGTAGGTAGGAAGTCTAACTCTCTCGAGGAGTGGGTCATCAGTGCTTAAGAAATCGTATACAAGTGATGATGAGCTCGATGAGTTGGATTCACCGATGACATCAATCATCATAGACAATTCCCCGTCTTCTCCCAGTCCATTGGCAGCCAACTCAACACCGAAGTGGAAGGGTGGTCGGAATGCTGTCAGGTATCAACTCCTCCGTGAAGTTTGGAAGATAGCGACTGATCTTCCCTTTCATGTATGTATCTGATGTACCCGGGGCAGTTGTTCAATTTGGGGGCTCCCTTTACTTCTCGCTTGTACATAGATGAGTATTTATACAACGTTACAACGATATGAATATTGAGGCAGTTTGTTCCACAGCAGTGGTTATCCAGGTTAGCGGCTGTAATCTAAGCTTTCATGGAAGCCTGTTATTTTTTTGAATAATGATATCATGTAGAATAAGTTTATACATATACCCAACCTTAATCTCGGTTTCCTTGTCTCGTTGTCTATGGACTTGAACTATGGGAGCAGGCAGGCGTTAGCCGATACTTGTCTATGGAATTGAGTTATGCAAATGTTGAACTGTTGAACGATTCATTTGAACTGAAATTTCGAGGATGTTGTATGAGAAAGTACCCATTTCTCGAATCAAATACTTATAAACATAACAGCAGGAATACAGTTCAAGATTTTGAATGACTACAGGCTACAGTACCACGCATCTCTGGCTATCTTTGTTTGCACCTGCAAACACCCACAACGAAAATTCATGAGCCACTGGCTGATTTGAGTGGCAGAGACAAAATTATGAAAGATATAAGCCAAAACCCGAGAAGGAAACCAAGCAAACAACTAGAGCCTATTGCGCCTTCTGGTGCATATAGTTTTTCCAGGAAACAGATGAGTAGGAAATGAAGAAATCTTACAACTTGGACTGTGTACCAGTAGTTGCAGCAGGCAGTGCGTCGTAGTGTCCATAACCATGATAAAGTACGCGGATAGGGTTGTCCTTACCGTACTCTTGACCATATTCGGCTATGATCTTGAGGTCGCCGGAATCCTTGTCCCGCATATAAACTGTAATCGGCATCCTAGGAATGAAATTGTATCATTAACTGTAAGATCGACGAACCTACGTACCTTCTGAAATATATAGAAACTTTCTTAGCATAGGAGTATATAGGACTTACCGTAGGACATGTGAGGACATAAGCAACTCAGGTTCTCCTCCCCAAATGTGGGGCTGTCGCATCTGTACAACGTACGTTTCAAAATCATCTTCAAGAAACCTGCAAATAAATTCAAAACAAATTTCGACAAGCGATTGACAATGATTTTCAAAGCAGTTTAAATCTGCATCGAGGCAGAAGTTATCGAGATCCAGGTTGGTGAGATCTTTACGAAATTTACCATTCGGTGTCTGACCTCCGTCTGATGAATTCATCGACCACCTGTCCAAATTATATCACCATTTTACGTAGGAAATCGAAGGACAAATAGCATCAGTATCCTTCTGAATTCAGTAAATTTGAGTTCATCGTGTACCTTTGATCTGAGCTCGTCGGCAAGTTCTCTCTGAAGGTTGTCACTTGGAGATGGTTTCCCTGCCCTTAGAGAAGCGCCGTGAACCACAGACCGGAACAAACATCTTCCGTCTCCACGTATGCCTGTACGAAACACACATAAATTAACAGTTGATGATCGCAAAACACATTTGCATTCAGTATTTAAAACATGAAAATAAATTGTAAAAATAAAATAAAGCGAAAAAAAAAAAAAAAAAAAAAAAAAAAAAACCCAATACCTTGATCCATAACAATTTACCAATATTCCCAAATTAAGGAGTACAAATTGGGAGGAAATTTTAGTAACCAAATGGCAGACAAAGTGCATGGATTCAAGAAACGAATCTATTATAACACCAGCAGATACATGAAGAAAAGCACTTATATACGAAAACCACACCAGACATATGAAGAAAAGCACTTATACGAAAAGCACAAGCAATTCGTCTGATTACTGAAGTTAGGAATAACAAATTAACATGCATTCAAGAAATAAAAAACTTCCATTCTAAATAAGAAGAAAAAAAAAAAACTTTCGTAACAAAAAACAAAGTTAACAAATGAAACTTTTGTTACCGAGAAGATTTTCCCGTTTCGGCATCGGTTGAATTCAGATTAAGCAGTTGACAACACAAACAAAAAAATCAGTAAAAATGCCAACTTATATGAATGATGAATCTTCATCTTTTTGCTTCTTGATTTCGATGTGCAAAACTGCAATTGAGTCTCAGCCGTTGAATGAGCTCGACATCGACTGATGAGACGACAGCTCCTCCACATTTCACAGCCTTTTGCTTTCAAAGAATCGAATTCGATGCTTTTAATTTTGCTTTTCAAACTCTCAAGTTTCAACCAACGACCAACGGCTAGGATCCGTTACGTGCGCCCTTTTCCAAGCTCACTCAATCGACGACGTAAGGTGTATTCATGCATGTAACACGTGTCAATAACACATAGAACTCCCCCGCTAAAATCAATAGGACCCGCTCGTATCCAACTGGCAGGGCGCCAAAAATGAAACTTCGCCCTTCCAAACAATAGATTTTGGTTTTTTTTTTTTTTTTTACTATTTACAGGTGCTTTCAAATTTAGGGTAGAAGACTTCTCTTTGGAATAAATATAAGGCCAAAATCCTTAACCACTTTTCATGATATGGATTCCCGGGCATCCTTGGCGTCCCAGGTAACAACATCTCTCTCCAATCTCAAACCTCGATGATTTAAGTCGGAATCTAATTTTATGTTCATTTTCATTTACATTCTCTTCAAAAAACATATGTTCTTTATTAAAAAAGGAACATGCATCGTTATTGTATCAACATTGTTGAAAATATACCGGTAACATAGCCGCTGTTTTATGGCAATAAATGACATTGACACATTATCAATAACATGTCGATAGTTTGTTCTGGAACTGAACTATTATTTTCATATGTGTCACATTTGCTTTCACATTTTTATATGGAGTACCATATTTAATGTGCATGTCTGATTAAATTTGGAATTTCTCAGGAATCAACGCCGCAAATCAACATGATCAGTTCCAGAAAACGCCCATTTCACACTTGTGCGGGTTCAATTTTACTGGTAGCTCATAGAGCCTTCACCATAGCCCAAGGTCTCAATGGACCGCTAGGGTTCATAATAAAAATTGCAGCCAGACTAGTCACGTTGGCCGGAACCTTGGCTTATGCCTTGCAATACCAATGGCTCACAATGGCAATCCTCTCATTCATCGATTATCGAATTTTAGCCCTTGAAGACATGATCGAGAGATTTTACCCTCCTTCACACATTGTGTTCGACAAGATTGACGACCTTGTCCAAGTCACCGAATCCCTGCCTGGAAAATTTGACAATGCCGTTAGCAAAATCCTGGCACATTTCCATCACGTTTCGTTTTTGGATTGGACGTTGGTGCGTGCCATTTCGCTGCTGAATTTTGTTGCGGCTACATTGAACTATTGGAGATTGTCAAACGGTAGGAGGGAGAAGGAGATTAAGGTTGATACAAGCAGCAATATTCATCGAAACGGTGGACCGGGTTCGGTTCATGAAGCTGACTGGTCTACCCCAAATGGTAATAAGAATAATGCTGCTGCAAGTGGTGATCAGATTAATAAGGGTAATACCTTTTCTTCTCCTCGTAGAGGTGTTACTTACAAGGAAGTGCTTCTGCAGAAGGGAACAAATAAAGGAGGGATTGGAAAAAAAGAAGAGAATAAGGTTAATAACAAGGAAGAAGTGGAGAGTAGTGTCACTGATGATGATAGTGAAACCAACTCTAAAGATGACCTCCTTGAATTGTTCGAATCAGCGTGGCTTATGACATCGCCCGGAAAAAATAAGGGAAAATACGCGCCACGTTCAGTTTCATTCATTTTTTGACAAAAGTAGCATGGTTTTAACCACTCTTTTCACGAATAACAAAAAATTGTGCAAAAAGAATGCTATTCTTGAGATAAGGTTATATATTTAGCTAGTTTTGTTAATATGAAACATTAAGGTAATTTTTAATGTTTTAGAACTTGGTAAATATATGTAGATACAAAAATGACAGTGTTATTTGGCTGTCCAATTCCATAAACCTTGGGAGCTGAGTAGGATTCTTTGTGTTATGATAGAGAACTAAGCATCAGTTGGTTCTGTACTTTAGTTTTGGCATCACATCAAGAAATGCAATGGCTGTAAATAAAATGTTATATTGTTTGTGGTTTGTGGAATTTACAAAATCCACCGAGTGTGCTCTCAAAATTTGCAAAGCAAAACTCTCTTATGCATCATTCTCATTATTACTTATCGTTTCTTCACTCTCAAGTCTCAAACGATATCAATTTTGTCAGATGCGACAAACAGGGGTTACATATCAACAACTAGCAAGGTTGGAGTTTTATTTTTTCGAATGAAAACGGCTCTAATCGGCTCTCTAACTGCGAGGAGTGGCTTAAGCGTGCCGTTGAGGTACTTGGAGCAATGCTTTTGGGAGTGACTGTTTAAAAGATCATGCATGTTGCTTGTCACTCCTTGGAATGTAAAAAAAGACGACAGCTTGAGTGATGATCTTTCCTTTACATAAATTATTTATATGCCCGAAATGAAAAAAACCCTGGCTTATGTCAAGCAACATTGTTTAAAAAATATTGCGTGACTCCTCCCTTTCGTTTGTTTAGTCTGGATTATATCATTAGTAAAAAGGATAAAAGAGTCAAACATTTTTTTTTTTTAAATTTCCCATGCATTTTTTTTGTAATTAAAATGCTTGCTTTGAGATAAAGAGTCGCTCAGGGTCTTCAATTGATTAAAGTTCACAACATAGCCATTTTTGTAGAAACCATAACTACGTACGGTTCTATAGGCGCATTCCCATACATACAATGTATAACGTAAAATCATGCTAGGTTTTTATATAGCATGGCCACAGCTATGAGAGGCTGAGCTTTCTCTAAGGTGATGCCAAACTTCTCTTCCATGTTCAAGGTCTCTGGTACAACTCCATTTTCAAGCTTCCAATCGTCAAACGAGTTAATAAGCGAGCCCAACATCAAATTCAACATTCTCATTGCCAATGGAAATCCAGGACATATTCTCCTCCCACCACCAAACGGAATAAGCTCAAAGTTTCCCCCTAAAACATCAATTTCCGAATCCAAAAACCTCTCCGGCATAAACGAGTTTGGATCGTCCCAAATGTTGGGATCTCTCCCTATGGCCCATGCATTGACCAATACTTGTGCACCCTTTGGTACAATGTACCCGCAGATTTCAACATCTATTTCGGCTTTTCGAGGAAGTAGAAATGGAACGACTGGGTGCAATCAGAAGGTTTCTTTGATTATGGCTTGTAAGTAAGGGAGTCGAGCAATGTGTGACTCCTCAACTGGCTTTCCTTTGCCGATGATTTGCTTCAGCTCTGCTTGTGCTTGTGATAGTTTTTCTGGGTTGCGGAGTAGCTCAGCCATTGCCCACTCCAATGTGCCTGAAGTTGTATCTGTGGCTGCAGTAAACAGATCCTAATTGACCAAATGGCTAATTAGCCTGAAATTTTAATATATCAAAATGACGAGAATAGAAGAAAAACTGATTACAAACTATTATTCTTATTCGCCACTAACTAGTAGTGAAGTTCTTCTTCACTTGTAAGTTTGAGATCTTAAATTTAAATCTCCAAAATAACGAATTTATTACCAATTTATTCCTCCTTTTCCATAGTGTAAATATATTATTGCATAAAAATATATTCTTATTCTACTGACTAAAAGAAAGGAATTTTTAAAAAATTTGATAAGACGCTACGTAGCAAAGGGACTACATTTTTGTCAAGACTTCATTCCTACAAGGTTGAAGTAGGTGTATTCATAAAGATCTAATCTTGAAACAAACGGGACATGAAAGCAATTTTAATCATACTCCAACAAAAAAAGACTTGAAAACTTTGAGTTTTAACGATAAGGACAAAATAAAGTGTAAAGTAAATAGTACTAGGTTTGACTTTTTAGTGTAAAAATATAGTTTTTCGTTAAAGTAAACAATATGATTTTTCGTTATAACTCCCAAAAATTAAATGAGGCTAATATAATGAATGAAAAAACCTACTTCTACTAACTCAAGTGACCATATGATTATTGGGGCCCTTAAACACCCACCCTCCACCTTCCCCCTTTTTATTAGATTATCTTTGACATGGATCATTACAAATCTGGCTAAAGCCGAAGTCAACGAGGGCACAACTGTGAAAAAAAATTAAAGTCCCGAGGACAGGGTTATCCGATAAAAATTTCACTTGTCATATAACTCTTATAATGTTGAGAGATATAATTCATTCACTAAGTTTTAGTGCTCTCAATAATTCTTCCTTTAAATACGAAAGGCTCCCAACAAAGCGTGTATATAGTCCTTCACCCCCTCAAGAATAGTAAGCAATAATAGAGAGCCCTCAAGAATAGTAGGCAATAATAGAGAGCCCTCGTGAAGTGTCAATTATTTATGTACACCTCAAGTGATGCACATGATGGCCAGTTTAGAAGGTACATATAGCGACACAACTCATAATTAACAAAAAAGTAAATGACCAGCAACAACAAAAATTAATGATCGAAGAAAACCTAGTTACTTTTTAATTCATCAAATCAAGAACAATATGTGGTAGGAACTAACCAGAAACAAATGCTCAGTTTCAGCCATGTCCATGTCCTTGCTTTTCTCTTCACTGAAGTTTATAAGTGTATCCAACATATCTTTAGTTGTGACATAATCACGTGATTTTCTTGACTCCAACCTTTGTGTGATCATGCGGTCAAAGAGGCTGATCATCTTCTGGAAGTGATTGGCCAGACGACGCCGTATTCCCATGGGATCGATCTTCTTAAGTACAGGAAAATAGTCAGCCAAGTTTGGCTTCCCAATCTCTTCAACAATACCCCACACCAATTCCTTATACTCTCTAGCCGTATCACTATTCGGGTCCGCCAAATCCACAGACAATACGGTACGCGACATCAAGTTGAGCGTAGTTTTGAAAGCAGCACTTCTAACATCAACGGCTTCACCTTTTAAAACGCTTTCGTTGACCTCGGATATGAGCTCTTGAACTTTTAGGCGACGGTTGGCTTGGTTGGCGTCGAGAACTTTGGTGGCAAACAATTGCGAGTTGCATATTTTTCGAAGGTTTCTCCATGCCGCTGAAACCGGTTTCCAGGCCATGCCGTACTTAGCATGGTCACAGGCCTGGACCGCATCTGGGACGGTTCGGTTGCAGAAGAGTTGGTCGTGGGTTCGGAAGACTTCTTTGGCGACGGTTGACGAAGAAATTACCACCGTCGTTATTTGGCCGAGTTGCAAGGCCATTACGGGGCCGTAGCGTTGTGAAAGCTTGGTGAGAGAGAGATGGGGTTTGTTGCCAAGCTCTAAGAGATTGCCAATGAGGGGAAGTGGGTTTGGTCCAGGTGGGAGCCTTGTGGTAACTGATGATCTTCTTCCAAGTGAATAATAGAGGATGTAAATTGAGATCCATGCAACCATTAGACCTAGTAGTATGCAACTCAAGATGTCCATCTCTGAGCTCTGTCTCCTCGTTCTCCTAAACCTTTAACTTTGTTGCAATTGTTGAAAGAGACGATGAATGTTGCGTATATATCCAAATCGAGAAGTGATTGGACGCATGTGGACTACATTATTCTTACCACTTTTTGTATTTTCATTTATTTATTTTTAATTCGCAAGTAAAATTTTATTTACTATTTTTAATTTGTAAAAAATTCATAACTTCTTTACATTGGTGAGGTTGTTTCTTTTGAATTTTATTTGACAATTATTTTACTATTTTGCACTTATTTAATTAATTTTTTTTTCTTTTTAAAAGTTATAAGAAGTGAGAAGCATTTTTTACAATATGAAAGATTTATTAAAATTTACGTTCTCCTTTATATAGAGATAAATTGCGTGTCGTCTAGAAAACAAAGCCATTGAACAAAAGGACACATTGACATACCCCCGACCCAGAATGTCCACCTGAACTCCAACTCGAGCTGTGCTGGCCGACACCTAGAGGGTGACAAAGCCATAAAATGTGGTGGTGTGGAAAATATGAATAAATTTAACCTAAAAGTGCCTAAATGTAAGAGTGTGCTTATGAGCAGGAACAAACCTAATTCACACATGATGTAGAGCATAAGTAAAGTACAGTAAAGGTAGATTAAGAATTATACGTCGAAGGTAATCACCTTTACCAAAGTTTGTCAAGAATCCTCGTCAACAGGAGAGCTTAGCCACTAAAACCTGGAGTAGCGAAAAACAAGGGTGAGTGGGCCAAAAATAAAGTTTTATAAAAACCTTTTCGAAAATATAATAACCCCTCGCCGTAAAACAAGTATAGTTTCCAAAATATACATACTACATATAGTAAGAAAATGCTTACCGTAACCTGCAATAGCTTAAGAATTCAATTTGTCACCATTTTTCGTACATAGGCATATAATTAGTAATCACAATATCTCACATAAATAAGTATATCATATCGAGTGCTCATCGACATATGCTAACACATGAGTTCATGCAGAGGTATTCTGGCATGAACATGACTGGGTGTAATAATTATTTACGCTCTAATACTACAATCAAGTGAAGACTAGCGCTATGCGCATCACATACGAGTCCTAATTGCGTATAACAATTTAGGACAGGACTGACACCTACAATGGGTCCAAAGTGAGCGTATGGTGCGATGTGAATATACATGTGAAAGACTGGCCCTGACCTGGGCGAGTATTAACACCTGTGCAGCACATGATGAGCAGATAATATAATCATGATCATATAATGGTAATTGGTAATTCTAATAAACCATAACACTATTCATGACCACTAATATAATTAAAGCATTCTATACTAGTACGCATATCTGTGCATCCCGCAAGATTCAGAATTATTTCGTAAATTCCATCACTTCACCAATTCTTATAAGCATTAGTCTAATTCAAGCATACGTAAGAGATTCTTTTTCAAACATATAAATGGAAACTATATAAATATATAATATTACTCACAAATACTTGCGAGGTCACAGCCGTTCGAACTAGGAAAACTAGAGTCACCAATAATAATCGCACCTAAACGATCAAATTTGAGAAAATGGAGTGCGGATTTGGAATCAGGGCGTCGAAATATGCTAAAGATGGTCATCGGCAAATTTTACAAAAAGTCAACAGTCAACCCTAAAAGTAAATCGAAACGCCTTAATGGTCAACTATACCAAAACCTTAGAATTTCACTAAATGGATGTCAAAAATAGACTCGGAGCATCTAAATTAGTCTAGGAGGGTTTCCGAAAAAATTTGAAAAAAAATCAACAAAAGTCGACTAACAGTTAACGGTTAACTTTAATGGAATATTCCCTTCTCATAATGAATATTCTGTTAAAGTTAACTGAATATTCATTCCCTCTAATTTCAGAAATGGACTTGGACTTAGACTTGAACAAAGACCCAAAGGTTTGGGCCGGATTTGGGCTTAGGCCCTTTCTTCTTCTGCAGATTTTAGGGTGAATTCAAATGCTCCATTCAGGCGTATTTCACAACCAAAATTTGCCCATAATATATCAAAACGAAGCTAGGAAAGTGTACAACAAGATTATACCTATTTAGAAGCCCAATGGTGCTGGAGATGGCCGGAAAATGGCATGAAAAACGACTGGTCCATTGGAAACTGGGGAAATTGGCCGGAAAACTGGACAAACTTTAAATGTCCATAACTTTGTCAATACATAACGAAATTGAGTGATTTAAAAATGAAAAGCGTACTTCGGGATCAAAAAAAGAGATTGGTGGCCTACTTGACTGCTAACTCGCCATGATTTGGTCGGAAAATGGCTCAGAAATCTCGGAGGTCGCCGGAAACTAGGTAAACTTTAAACGTTTATAACTTCTTCAATTCTTAACCAAAATTGACGATCTTTATATGGAAATGAAGCTTAGTAAGAGAATAAAAAGTTTATACCTTTTGAAAATCTAAAAATTGGACGGAATTGGACTGAAAATGGCTTGAAAGCTCTCGGACCCTTTTTTTAACGTTTCGAAACTCAGTTGTTTTCGATTCTGTTTATGTGGATGGACTTGTGAGGATGAGAGGATTACGATGGTGACGTTTTGAAGCTCATTCTTTTGTGTTTGATGATTTTGTTTGGGTTTGTAGAGAGAAGGGAATGGTACGGGTTGAGGGAGAAGAAGAGAGATGTGAGAGAGAGAGAGAAAGTGAGAATGATAGAGAGAGTTTCAAATGAGGGAGACAGTATGGTCCAGAAAATAGGGAGACACGGGAGTGAGGGGAGAAGTAAGGAGTGTGGGCCCTACGTAGCCCACAAAACAAGCCACAAAAATATCTCACACGAATTTACCAAATCGCCATTCATGTTCATAAGTCCATAAAATCTCTACCCTAATTCCAAATTCAATTCTGATTGCGCTTACGCGTTCGTAGTGAAGAGTACTACGAGGATACACTAAAAGAATGTTTCATACATCTCACAATACGCTGGTCAACGGAAATCAACATCCTCGCCTCTAAGGGCAATTTCGTCAATTCACCCCCTTTAAAATTAATAAAATTGTTAAATTAAGGATGGGTTGTCACACACGTATAAATGAAATAGTTTAAATCCTTATTGTTCTCCATTCCGCTAATAAGAGCAATTCCAGCAAAGGCAGAGGCATAGGCAAGGGCTAACAAATTGATCAAAACTCCAGAAAGTTGCTCTAGCGGCTTATTTTTTTAGGGGCGATTTGTGGGCTTTACCAGGCCCGTTGGATTACCTAGCGAACATTTTTTAGGTGTTGAGCCTGTCGGTGATGGGTGATGTCAGCATTGACATCTTTGAGCAGACGGAAGGAGCCTCATGCGTACCATAGAGCCCAACAACTTTTTCTTCCTCGTGCTTCAGCCGTTGGAAAATTCAACGGTCTAATGCTTTGGACTGTTGGTTTTGCAACGGTAAAAATATTTGAATTTTGACCGTTGTGCCATATGGCACAACTTGGTGCATTTAATTGCCAAATGTGAAAATTAAGGGTCATGATTAATCCAACGGTAAATTTTTTTAAACATAATGGAAAAATAATTTTTTTTTCTTCTATAAATACCTAACTATCTCCATCTAATAATTAAATTCTTTAATTAATTATTTTTAATTAATTTTGGATTTAATTAATTTCAAATTTAATTAATTAATTATATTTTATCAACAAACTCATCATTTCAGATGAAGTCTAAAGAGTGGTGAAAGAACGCAGAGAGCAAACACCCCTCTGAGAAGATGTCTCCCAACATATGCATCCCTTTTTCATACCTGTTGCGAACAGGCATATTCTTATTATATTTACATCTATCTGCATGACATTTAGAACATAGAAAAAGATAATTCTTCTTCTACAATCCAAAGCATTTTTATTGAGAGAACCACAAAGAAATTCGCCAGAAGTTAAGTTTTCCGATGCTGGAATTCTGACTTGATTATTGAATATTGGTGAAGCAGACGTCCGTAGAACTACAAGCATTGAGTAGGGGTGAAATATTTGTTTCAAGGACATTGCAGTACTCAAGCCTTGATCTTCAGTTTATTTGTTTAATATTATTTCATTGTTCATACTTTGTTAAGTTAGTTGTTCGCATGTATTATTCATTTGCATATATAAAATTATCGTTGATTGTTTATATTTATCCAACATCAGCATGCTTAGTTGCAGATGCTGCTGATTTAAGTTTGTCAAATCCTTTTGTCAGTCAGTTTGAAGTTAGCCACAAAGAAGGCCATGACTTATGGCTGGTTTGGTATTGCTATGCTTTTAAAAAAAAAATGCTTCTGTTGTGCTGTGAGAATAAGCAACTGTGAAATAAAGGAGCAGAGTGTTTCGTAAACTTTTTTGTAAAAGTGCTTTTGAAAAAAAAAATAAAAAGCAGTATTATAGTGTTTGATAAACTTTTATGTAAAACAGATGTGAAAAAAAAGCTGGTTTTTCAAAGCTGGGTTTTGCAGCTTTGTGTTTTTGGCTTATTCTCACCCAAAATTGTGAAAAAAAATTGAAGCTGAATGTTTACCAAACATAAAAAAGCTCCCAGCTTTTTTTTATGATCACTTTTTTTTTCAGAATCACCTCAGTACCAAACTAGGGCTTAATGAAGACAAGAACATTATAGTTATACACAAGCTAGAGAAGTTGAATAAACTACAAGAACTGCGAAAATATTCCGTGAAAATATTTCTAATCCCAGCAGTGATACTCTATATGTCGCTTTTGCTTTGTAGTGCTATGAACTTGTAGAGATCCTAGTGAATTGGAATTTATCGAGAGCGACTTTGTAGGGGAAAACCATATGCTTTGATTTTGGGTTTCTATTTTAAATGGGTGTAGAGACAAATTTATATATTGAATTGGATTTGTTAGGATAATTTAGGTAATGAATTTGAGTTTAATGAGATATTGACAATTTAATTAAAAATAATTATGATGTAGAGAGTAAGTTAGGTTTGAAAAGAAATTATATGAATTCAAATAAAAATTTTCTTTAAATTATTGTGAACAATCATCACCTAACTTTTTATTTTACCTTTTTTGTTAGAAAGTCCAATCTCTCGTCACGTAGGAACAAGAAATAAGAGGGAGATCAGTATTGCAGTTAAAAGATACTATTAAGGCTTCACTCTACAAATTAGAGTTGTTGAGCTGCCTATAAACTTACCTGTAAGAATCGCTTTTGTGGACTAGGCGTTAGATCATCTTTAATGGAGAGGGATAAATGTCTAAAAGCTAAAAAAATGATCTGATTTGTCAAAAAACTTATATTCGACAGATGGTTGGGCTATAAATCTGTAGAACCTACCAGACTATTATTTGGCCAATGGGCCATCAGACTAACCAAATTTAGCCCCCTTCTTAGCCATTTTTTGAAACTTAGCTCATCAGTTTCAATAATTGATTCAAATTCAATGGTTATATTTGACAAAATCCAACGGTTTAACTAAATTTTCAATAAATTTAAAGTATAACCTTAAAAATAATAAATTATTGAGAATGGCTATGGTTAGCCTATTTAGTTGGAGATGGTACATGAGTATGGCTTGATATTGTTCATTAAAAAATAATTTTTTGCAGAGCTATAATTCTGGACGGAATTATTTTTAGCTTTTCATTTGGAGATGAACTTAAACTCCTGTTGGAACTCTAGAGCTACATTCTGAAATATGGAGTACCTGTATTCTGCGCGCCTTGTCCTATGCAAAAAGGATGTTGTACAAGAAGGGTGTTTGGCACATACATACAACAAGATTAAAAATATCAATGTTGAAGCACACAAACATGCATGATTTATATATAACAGTACAAACCGTTCATGTTTTAGTACATTATTTACAGAAAAAAGTTAGACAAATTGTAAACTATTAAGACATTTAATTGTAGTGAAGAAAATAGACAGAATTCAGTTTCTTAAAGAAACACGAATATGACTACTATTTATCTAACGGTCAAATGGTTTCTGAGTTGGGTGATTGTTGGTGGATAATATTTGAGGAAAGACGTAAAAGATGAACAGTTGGATCGCCAAAATACCAGGGTCTCTGCACGAAATTTATCTAAATTACACCAATTTAACTAATCCAAGTCTCTACAAGCATGATTCCTATTAAGAGTTTATAAATTATATGGTAGAAACATGAAAGTAGATACCAATAAGCGGGGTTCTTCTATATTTCTATAACATGGGCACAACTATGAGAGGTTGAGCTTTCTGTAAGGTGAGGCCAAACTTCTAATCCATGTTCATGGTCTCTGGTGCAACTTTTCTATGGAGCTGGAAGAAGGCTTTCAAAGATGCCCGTGAAAGGCTCTGTCCTGCAAGAGCTGGTGGACATGAGTGTGGCTGCTTGCCTCTGCTGGCTCGTTTGGTAGGTTTATTCATCATAATCCCTTCCTCAATGTGTAGGTTGAGCTTTTCACTTCACCTGGGAACTCCTAAAGGTTATAATAACAACGAAGAAGTGGAGAGTAGTGTTGCTGATGATGATAGTGAAACCAACTCTAAAGATGACCTCCTTGAATTGTTCAAATCAGCGTGGCTTATGACATCGTCTGGAAGAAATAAGGGAAAATACTGCGCCACATTCGGTTTCATTCATTTTTTGACAGAAGCAGCATGGTTTTAACCACTCTTTTCACGAATAACAAAAAATTGTGCAAAAAGAATGCTATTCTTGAGAAAAGGCTATATATTTTGCTAGTTTTGTTAATGTGAAACATTAAGGTAATTTTTAATGTTTTAGAAATTGGTAAATATACGTAGATACAAAAATGGCAGTGTTATTTGGCTGTCCAATTCCATAAACCTTGGGAGTGAGTAGGATTCTTTGTGTTATGATAGAGGAATGAGCATCAGTTGGTTCTGTACTTTAGTTTTGGCATCATCAGGAAATGCAGTGGCTGTAAATGAAATGTTACATTGATCATTTGTGGAATTTGCAAAATCGACCGAGTGTGCTCTCTCATCGGCTCTCTAACTGCGAGGAGTGGCTTAAGTTTGCTGTAGATGTACTTGGAGCAATGCTACTGGGATTGACTGTTTAAAATAATTGAGACATACAAATTAGAGGGCTAATTATAACAATTCCCGTATATTATACATACATGCATGTTGATTCTTGTAACTCCTTGGAATGGAAAAACAAAAGACGTCAGCTAGAGAGATCATCTTTATTTACATAAATTATTTATAATCAATTAAGTAAGGAAAATTTTATTCAAACCCATTTAACCTCTTTTTACACCCAATTTAAATTTTAAATGTTAATTATCTATTTTATCCTATTACATAATTACTATTAAATACAAAATGAAATTACTAATAAAACTCAAATTTATCAACAAACTCAAACACTATAATTAAACCCTACGATCACTATTTGTTTATCCTACGTTCATTCTGGCTAAAACCCTAATAGCTCTCATAGAGAAAAATAAGTTTTTTTTATTGATGGATGGTGATTTTGAAGTTTTGAAACAATATTATAGAAAAGTAGAAATCATGCTAGGTTTTTGTATAGCATGGGCACAGCTATGAGAGGCTGAGCCTTCGCTAAGGTGATGCCAAACTTCTCTTTCATGTTCAAGGTCTCTGATATAACTCCATCTTCAAGTTTCCAATCGTCAAACGAGTTAATAAACAAGCCCAACATAACATCAAATTCAACATTCTCATTGCCAATGGCAATCCAGGACATATTCTCCTCCCACCACCAAACGGAATAAGCTCAAAGTTTCCTCCTCAAACATCAATTTCCGAATCCAAAAACCTCTCCGGCATAAACGAGTTCGTATCGTCCCAAATGTTGGGGCCTGTCCCTATGGCCCATGCATTGACCAATACCTGTGCACCTTTTGGTACAATATACCCGCAGATTTCAACATCTATTTCGGCTTTTCGGGGAAGTAAAAATGGAACAACTGGGTGCAATCTGAAGGTATCTTTGATTATGGCTTGTAAGTAAGGTAGTCGAGCAATGTGTGACTCCTCAACTGGCTTTCCTTTGCCGATGATTTGCTTCAGCTCTGCTTGTGCTTTTGATAGTTTTTCCGGGTTGCGGAGTAGCTCAGCCATTGCCCATTCCAATGTGCCTGAAGTTGTATCCGTGGCTGCACTAAACAGATCCTATTTAAGACCAAATGGCTAATTAGTCTGAAATTTTAATATATCAAAATGACGAGAATAGAAGAAAAATTGATTACAAACTATTATTCTTATTCGCCACTAATTAGTAATAACGTTCTCTTCACTTATAAGTGAGAGGTCTTAAGTTTAAATCTTAGAAATAGTGAATTCATTACTATTTATTCCTCCTTTCCCATAGTATAAATATATCATTACATAAAAAATATCATTCTTATTCTATTGAGTAAAAGAAAGGAAAATTTTAAAAATTTGATAAGACGCTAAATAGCAAAGGGACTACATTTTGTCAAGACTTCATTCCTACAAGGTTACAATAGGTGTATTCATAAAGATCTAATCTTGAAACAAACGGGACATGAATGCAATTTTAATCATTATTATACTCCAACAAAAAATTAAATGAAGCTAATATAATGAATGAAAAAAAACTACTAATACTAACTCAAGTGACCATATGATTATTGGGGCCCTTAAACACCCACCCTCCACCTTCCCCCTTTTTATTAGATCATCTTTGACATGGATCATTACAAATCTAGCTAAAGCCGAAGTCAAAGGGCACAACTATGAAAAAATTAAAAGTTCTGGGCTCGAGGACAGGGTTATCTTATAAAAAAATTCACTTGTCATATAACTATTATAATGTTGAAAGATATAATTTATTCACTAAATTTTAGTGCTCTCAATAATTCTTCCTTTAATACGAAAGGCTCCCAACAAAGCGTATATCTAGTCCTTCACCCCCTCAAGAATAGCAGGCAATAATAGAGAGCCCTCATGAAGCGTCAATTGTTTATGTACACATCAAGTGATGCACATGATGGCCAGTTTAGAAGGTACATATAGCGACACTACTCATAATTAACAAACACGTTAAAGACCAGCAACAACAAGAATTAATGATCGAAGAAAACCTAGTTACTTTTTAATTCATCCAATCAAGAACAATATATAGTAGGTACTAACCAGAAATAAATGCTCAGTTTCAACCACGTTCATGTCCTCGCTTTTCTCTTCATTGAAGTTTATAAGTGTATCCAACATATCTTTAGTTGTGACATAATCACGTGATTTTCTTGACTCCAACCTTTGTGTGATCATGCGGTCAAATAGGCCGATCATCTTCTGGAAGTGATTGGCCAAACGACGCCGTATTCCCATGGGATCGATCTTCTTAAGTACTGGAAAATAGTCAGCCAGTTTGGCTTCCCAATCTCTTCAACAATACCCCACACCAGTTTGGCTTCCCAATCTCTTCAACAATACCCCACGCCAACTCCTTATACTCTCTAGCCGTCTCACTGTTCGGGTCCGCCAAATCCACAGAGAATACGTTACGCGACATCAAGTTGAGCGTAGTTTTGAAAGCAGCACTTCTAACATCAACGGCTTCACCTTTTAAAACGCTTTCGTTGACCTCCGATATGAGCTCTTGAACTTTTAGGCGACGGTTGGCTTGGTTGGCGTCGAGAACTTTGGTGGCAAACAATTGCGAGTTGCATATTTTTCGAAGGTTTCTCCATGCCGCTGAAACCTGCATCCAGGGCATGCCGTACTTAGCATGGTCACAGGCCTGGATGGCATCTGGGATGGTTCGGTTGCAAAAGAACTAATCACGGGTCCGGAGGACTTCTTTAGCTACGATTGATGAAGAAACTACAACCGTCGTAACATGTCCAAGTCGTAAAGACAAATTGGGGCCATGGCGTTGTGAAAGGTTAGTGAGAGAGATGTGGGGTATGCTACCAAGCTCCAAAGGATTGCCAATGAAGGGAAGTGGGTTTGGTCCTGATGGAAGCCTAGTGGGACTTGAACTTCTTCCCGCAAACGAATAATAGATAGCATGAACAGAGATCCAGATGATTACGAGGAACAATATCATGCAACTCAAAAAGTCCATTTGATCTTACTCTCTCCTTCTTCTCCAAACCCTTGATCTTAATTTGTTACGATTGTTGACCAAAAATAAAAAATAAAAATAAATATAGATATATATATATATATGCATATAAACCTAGCAGTGTCCCCCCGATTTACGCTAGTTACACATGCACTCATGTGATTGTCCCACGCAAAATCTGCTTGGTACATTTCCTTCAAGATATAGTACTTTAAGAAGTCAAACATGTTAACTAATTATTATGCGGTTAATGTAAGGGTAATCATCACTTTAAATCATATTTAGTAAATCATATATAACGTGGTTGTTAATGATTTAATTATTATTTAAATATTAATTAATGTTTTTACTTTCTATTATTAGTGACATATCACATAATTTACAAAATGATGAGACGTTGTTCTTTCATAACCACATCAAGCAAATAATGTGATATAAAAATGTGACCTCCTCATTATTTTAAAAACATTTAAAAGTCATAAATGTGGACAAAGAGATGAATTTTTGTTTTTCTTTGTAAAGAGTTCATTTAAATTACTGTGAACATCCATCACCAAACCTTTTACTTTGTCTTTTTTTTTTTTTGTTGAAAACCTGAATGTCCAGTCTCTCGTTAAGTAGAAACTAGAAATAGAAGGGAGGGCAATGCTTCAGTCAACAAATTAAAGGAGTTGTTGAGCTGCCAGCCAACTTACCTGTAGGAATCGCTTTTGTGGACTAGGCTTTAAACTCCGGTTGGAATCCTAGGGCTACAGTAATTCTTCAATATGGAGGGCCTGCATTCGGCGCGCCTTGTCCTGTACAACAAAGGGTGTTTGAGCACATACATACAAAAAAAACACAAGCATGGTTATATATATGTGTGTGTGTGTGTGTGTGTGTGTGTGTAAGGGCAATGCTTCAGTCAACCAATTAAAGGAGTTGTTGAGCTGCCAGCCAACTTATGTGGGAATCGCTTTTATGGACTAGGCTTTAAACTCCGGTTGGAATCCTAGGGCTACAGTAATTCTTCAATATGGAGGCCTGCATTCGGCGCGCCTTGTCCTATACAACAAAGGGTGTATACAAGTAGGGTGTTTGAGCACATATATACAAAAAAAAAAAACACAAGCATGGTTATATATATGTGTGTGTGTGTATGTGTATTTCCTTTTCACAGATCATCTTTGCATAGAATTAGACAAATAAAAAATCATTAAAACATTCAATTGTAGTGAAGAAAATAGATGAATACAGTTTTTCAAAGAAACACTAATATGACTATTATTTAATCTAAACGGTCCAATTATCGGATTTTGGTGATTTTTGGTAAAGATGATCTTTGAGAAATACCTAAAAGATGAACAGTTGATCGCAAAATATCAAGATCTGTATTCTAAATTTATGTAACCAATTTAACTAAATCCATGTCTCTACAAGCATGATTCTTATTAAGAGTAAAAATTAGGGTGAAGTGTGGATGTAGTATTTGAACTATCACTTTAGTGAAAATTAGGTATTTGAATTATTTTTTGGGTAAAATAAGTCCCTAAATTCATTAAAAATTGCTAATTTCATCCCTAATATTGTATTCAAAGATATTTTATCTAATTTTTCGTCAACTTAAGTCACTTATTGACACACTTTAGAGGTTAATACTGTCATTTTCTCGCCTATAAGCCCTTGACATTTCATATAGGTTGCAAATCTAACGTCTAATTTACCCCTTAAAGTTAATTCCATACACTATTTCTTTATGGAAAATTACCAATCTATCCTCCAATGTATATCACATGCAAGTAACATAACTTAAATTAACAGAAACTTGAATATAGTAGCTTCAAATCTAATATGAGGGATGTAGTTAGCATATTTTTATAATTCAAGGGCTAATTTTTCTGAAAAAATAGTTTAGGAATCTAACTTTCACTCACGTGATAAATTAGGGACTGAACTGGAGTTCATCGCTAAAATTGGGAACTTTAACGAAAAACTCCCGGTATTGTTCACTTTAATAAAAAACCATATTTTTACTCTAAAAAACCGATCCTAGTACTATTCACTTACAACACATATTTGTTATTTTCGTTAAAACTCAAAGTTTTCAAGCCCATTTCATTAGTTTTCCTAAAATTATATGGTAGAAACATGAAAGTAGATATCAAGCTGGGTTCTTCTATATTTCTATAACATGGGAACAACTCTGAGAGGTTGAGCTTTCTGTAAAGTGAGGCCAAAGTTCTGATCCATGTTCATGGTCTCTGGTGTAACTCCATCTTCAAGCTTCCATTTATCGAAGCAGTTAATAAGCGAACCCAACATCAAGTTCACCATTCTCATTGCCAATGGCCAGCCAGGACACATTCTCCTCCCACTTCCAAACGGGATAAGCTCAAAGTTCTGGCCGGTTACATCAATTTCCGATCCTAGAAACCTCTCTGGCACGAATGAGTCCGGGTTGTCCCAAATTCCAGGATCTCTTCCTATGGCCCATGCATTGACAAACACTTGTGCACCCTTTGGTACAATGTACCCGCCGATTTCAACGTCTGTTTCGGCTTTTCGGGGAAGTAGTAAAGGCGCTGCTGGGTACAGACGGAAGGTCTCTTTTATTATTGCTTGTAAGTAAGGAAGTCGAGCAACGTCGGATTCCTCAACCATTTTTCCTTTTCCGATGATCTGCTTCAGCTCCGCTTGAGTTTTTGACAGTTTTTCTGGGTTGCGGAGTAGCTCAGCCATTGCCCATTCCAACGTCGATGATGTTGTATCTGTGCCGGCAGCAAATAATTCCTGTAATGAACAATTAAAGAGAAGTGGAAAGTCATTTGTCCCACATACATAAAGCTTAGAGTTGCCATTAAGACATTGTCCTCCAACTGCTTGATGAAATGCTCAATGAACTTTGGGTAGGACATGTTGTGTTCAACTCTTTCGTTGCTGATTCGCAGCTTTGCACGCAAGAAAACCAAGTCATTTTAGTCTAGGCATATATAAAACTCAAATCTTTAAAATCCTAGATCTTTAAAATTGAATTTTTTTTGTATTAATGATAAAGTTATAATACAACATTTTAAAATATGAATTACATCATGAACGATTGTCACTTGTAATGAATAATTGTAGTTTGTAATGTTATTTATTTCATGAATTATGAATAATGAACTTATAATTTAATTGTTAAAGCTATTTATTTTCCTAAGAAATATTTGTAAATTTTTACTGGGTGACCCGCCAAACAATTTTTCTTGAATCCGCCCCTGATCATCTGAAATTGATGTGATGAATAGTAGTGTTGACGATAGACAAGTTAAAAAAAAAAAAAAAAAAAAACCCTACTTATATCAGCTCACCTATATCTTTTTTGATGAAATTCGTGTGTCTATTAGAGAAAGGTTAATGTTAGGAAGACCAATTTTTTATATTAAATTTTATAAATCATATAATGTGGTTATTGAGGATTGGATTATTACTTATGTGTTGGTTAATAAGTTTATTTCCTATTGGTGACAAACCATACCGTTTGCAAATTTAATTTAAAAAGTTGGTCTATCTAATACGCTAGACGACCAATTTCAGACGATGCACAACCCTAATAATTACCTAGTAACAACTCGCGAGTAATTATCAATTACCTCTAAGCAATTTTGAGTATAAACATATTATAAAATTCAAAGAATCAATTCATCAAGATCAAGAACAATGAAGCTAGAGAGTAGACAACTAACCAGGAGCAGATGTTGAATTTCATCCATGTCCATATCCTCATTTTTCTCCTCACTAATGTTTATCAGGGTATCTAACATATCATTAGTCGTGATATAATCAAGCACTTTTCTTGACTCAAACCGTTGCATCATCAAGCGGTCAAAGAGGTCAAGCATCTTTCGGAAGTGACCAGTCAAACGGCGTCGAATCCCCAGGGGATCAATCTTTTTTAGCACAGGAAAATAGTCAGCCAAGTTAGGTTTCCCAACCTCTTCAAAGATACCCCACACCAACTCCTTGAACTCTCTCGCCGTCGCACTGTGTGGGTCTGCTAAATCCACAGAGAAGACTGTACGCGATAGAAAATTGAGCGAAGTTTTGAAAGCAGCCCTTCCGATATCAACCACCTCACCGTTTACAGCGCTTTCATTGACGTCAGATATGAGCTCCTGCACTTTTAGGTGACGGTTGGCTTGGTTGGCATCGAGAATTTTGGTGGCGAATAATTGCGTGTTACATATTTTGCGAAGGTTTCTCCAAGCAGGTGAAACCGGTATCCAAGCCATGCCATACTTGGAATGTTGACAAGCTCGAACCGCATCTGGGACGGTTCGGTTGCAGAAGAGTTGGTCGTGGGTTCGGAGGACTTCTTTGGCGACGGTTGATGAAGAAATTACCACCGTCGTTATTTGGCCGAGTTGCAAGGCCATTATGGGGCCGTAGCGGTGTGAAAGCTTGGTGAGAGAGAGATGGGGTTTGTTGCCAAGCTCTAAGAGATTGCCAAAGAAGGGAAGTGGGTTTGGTCCAGGTGGGAGCCTTGTGGTAACTGATGATCTTCTTCCAAGTGAATAATAGAGGGTATAAATTGAGATCCATGCAACCATTAGACCTAGTAGTATGCAACTCAAGATGTCCATCTCTGAGCTTTGTCTCCTCGCTCTCCTAAACCTCTAACTCTGGTGCAATTGTTGAAAGAGACGATGAATGTTGCGTATATATGCAAATTGAGAAGTGATACCGTGATAGGACGCATGTGGACTTCATTATTCTGACCACTTTTTGTATTTTTATTTATTTTTCATTTTTTAATTCGCAAGTAAAATTTTATTTACTATTTTTAATTTGTAATAAATTCATAAAAAAAAGCCCACTAACTTCTTTACATGGGTGAGGTTATTTCTTTTGAATTTTATTTGAAAATTATTTTACTACTTTGCACTTATTTAATTAATTTTTTTTTCTTTTTAAAAGTTATAAGAAGCGAGAAGCATTTTTTACCGTATGAAAGATTTATTAAAATTTACGTTCTTCTTTATATAGAGATAAATTGTGTGTCATCTAGAAAACGAAGCCATTTAACAAAAGGACGCATATAAACGAAATAGTTTAAATACTTACTGTTCCCCAGTAAATAATTGTAGACAAAAGATAAAGAACATGGAGATCATGTGGCACAATAGTCTAGAAACAGCAATTGCAAATAAGAGAGGTGCAGTCAGTGGTGGCTAACAAATTGATCAAAACTCCAGAAAGTTACTCTAGCGGTTCATTTTTTGAGGGTCGATTTATGAGCTTCGTTAGGCTGCCCAGCCAACGTTTTTTAGGCCTATGCTTGCCGGTGATGGGCGATGTCAGATCCCATGCGCACCAGAGAGCCCAATGACTTTTTTTTCCTGGTGCTTCAGCCATTGGAAAATTCGACGGTCTGATGCTCTGAACTGTTGGTTTTGCAGCGGTAGAAAATTTTGAATTTTGACCGCTGTGCCACTGGCACAAACAGGTGCAATTGATTGCGAAATGTGAAAATCAAGGGTCATGATTAATCCAATGGTAAAAAATTTATAAAAAAAATGGAAAAATAATTTTTTCCTATAAATACCTAACCATCTTCGTCATTTCCCACACCACAACTCAATTTTATTTTTCCTACAATCTCCAATATTTTTTTTTCTACTTTTCAAATCCTTTTTTACCCAAAAAAAATGACTAAGAAGGCAAATTGGTCGATCACGAATGATGTTGCTTTGCTTGAGAGTAGGGTGCATGTTACTCATGACTCGGCCACAAGACATGAGATGACAGAGCAATAAATGTGGAAGAAGATTCATGCACACCTCATACTGAGTAATTTTTGTCGAGTAGGTACAAACATCTACATAAAAGTTAAAATCTTGGCAAGAAGGCCTTACAAAAAGTGAAAGTAATTTATCAAAGTGGCAATAATCTAGCCAATAAGGTATATCATTTTATCCTTGATAAATTTGAATTGTAATCAACGTTATTATGTAATTTATTATGTTGTTTCACACTTCTCTTTTCAGCAACTACAAGCTCAAATGTGCTACAAGCAAAAATGTGGTTTAATCTTCATAACAACGATAGATCAATCACAAAGTATGAAGGTTGGAACATTGTGAAGCATATTCCAAGATACAAAACTGTGTCATACGTTAGGGACCCTAGGTTGTAGGCTACTGAGCATAATTTGTTTTAATGTCATACTAGGTTGTAATATATGCCTTGCTTTGTATTTGAAATTACATTATTGGAGTTAAATATTGAGTTTTATTTTCAAACAACAAACTTATAAAGTTCACACTTAAACACATTTATCAAGTATTAAAAAAAATTAAAAATATATATTTGTGATAGTAAACGCCATTGCCTTTGGCCTTAACCAAGTAAGGGTGGAGCCAAGATTTTTTTTCATGAGTGGACTGTCACATCCCGGCCCGAGCCCCCCCCACAACCTGGGTTCGACTTCACCGTAGCACGATATTGTCCGCTTTGAGCCCCTACCACACCGTCACAGTTTTTGTTTCTGGGAACTCACACGAGAACTTCTTAGTGGGTCACCCATTATAGGATTGCTCTCGCACGCTACTCGCTTAACTACGAAGTTCCTACGGAACCCCAAGCCAGTGAGCTCCCAAAAGGCCTCGTGCTAGGTAGAGATAGGAATATACATATAAGGCTTATAGGATCCACTCCCCAGGGCGATCTGAGATGTAACATGGACTATAAAATAATTACCATGAAGTAACATAATGTTTACATACGTACATAAAATTATTTAATAAATAACATGAAAATAAAACTCTACAATCTGAAATAATAATCCAAACAAAACAAAAAGATATAAAATAACATAACAAGTACTTCAAATTCATTTTTGTTAAAGAATTTTGCACTAATTACATATTAAATTATAGTTTTCATTAGAATTGGGTGGCTCTATACAAGTAAAATAGGTTAGAATAGGCTAATACATAGACTATATAAGTAAAACATGTAAAATTAGCAAAATATTTTTGTGTTAACAAAGACAAAGAAAATTTGAACTTCAACCTCTTTTTAGTTACCATGAAAATAGAGCTATTTGGAGCCCAAAATTTGAAAATAAAGGCTTCAATGTTTTTGGTTTAGGTCCAAAAGAAATCATATTTTTATAACTTTAAAGAACACATGTTGAAAACAAATAAGACGAGAAGAATTAAGGACACCTCAATTTTGCTCACATTACAATTCAATGTCATTATTAGGACCCCAACATTCCAATACAATGGAAATCCATCTCTTTCTCTCGTTGTGGGTGTTTGCGTAAAGTGCGAGGATTATCAGTCACGTAGACACATTTTAAGGACACATTTTATTATGAGTTTTCTATTAGATTCTGACACATGATATGTATGAGAGTTTAGACATCTGATTAAAGAAATAAAAAATATATATTAATGTTTTTTATTATTTCAGTACATATTGGACATCAAAGTACAATACAAGATGCGTCTCCTTTCTTGTAAGATGGAGATATGGACAGGTTCCGACAGATCTAAGAAGCGAAGGTGATCAATTTGCATACGTTATTGAACAAGTGGATGCTATATCTTTGTACTTGCCTTCTACCATGTCCGAAATGATGGCCCGTTTGTCATACGGACGGTGGAGTTTTGTCCGACATCGTGTAAAACTTTGACTTTTCTTTCACATATTAAACTTTTAACTTTTTTTTAGATATTTTCAAAAACAATATAAATAGTTTAAAAGTACATACCAAAAATACGTGTTTCCGATCACGTCAATCCGCGTGTGAAAATGTTAGAGTGTTTTCTTACATTAAAAAACTAAGTGATTTTATATGTGCTTATAAAGATAATGTTGTTTCCTTATAACTAGGGGTGAAAAAAATTTCCGAAAATCCCGAACCGAACCGAAAAAATCCCGATCCCAAACCAAAAATTTCCCAAACCAAAATTCCCGAAATTTTCGGGATGCTATCCCAAACCAATCCCAAAATTTCGGTATGGGATTCGGGATTGGCTTCTCGATATTTCGGGAATCCCATACCAAACCGAAAATATATAATATTAATTATTAATATATATATATATATATTTATACATAATATATTATTCTTTTATAATTCATGCTAGTAGTTTCTAATTTTTACTCGGCAACCTGGAATGCCCTACACCTTGCATATTTTTCATATTCTGTTTGATATTCATGTGGATATTAATTGCTGCTACTAGGGCTGATGATTTCAGAATGCTTGATTCTTTTGTCTCTCAACAGATTGCAAAAAGGGTTTAATTAATTTGAATTTTGACTATGATAAAAATAGTCAAGCATGTCAGTGTTCAATTAAATGGTAGTGTGAATGAAATGAAATTCCTAGTTCATGAATGTGTTCTTGAATTATATATTTGAAGAACAATTCATAATTTCATATTTCAATTTGGGATTCCCGATTTGTCCCAAAATCCCGAAAATATTTCGGGATTCCCGAAAATTTGGTTTGGGATTGGTCTTCAAATTCCCGTCCCGAAAATTTTCGGTTTGGGATTCGGGATACTAGTTTCGGTATGGTATCCCATACCGAACCACCCCTACTTATAACCAATTAATCTTGAATTGAAATCTCAACTTTCTTAATTGTTATTTAACCGGTACAAGGCCAAATTCTCAGGTCAATTAGTGAGCAGTCTTGCTTTATAGCGTGCAAGAAAAAAGAATGGTATTATTCACACTCTCTCACACACTCTCTTAATCTCTGACGATCAGAACGAATGAGTTAAAAAAATTAATAAAAAAAATTAATAAAGATACGTAGGAATTAACCACTTGAATTAATCATATTCATAAGACATATATATATATATATGTATGTATGTATGTATGTATGTATTCCCTACCTCAAAGGTAAATCCGAAACCAAAATCCATAAATTACAAGGGGGCCTGTACATTCCGCTCTTTCAAAAGTAAAAGAACAAAAAGAATAAAACGATGATACAACACTGAAATTCACACCACCGTGGGAGTTAATACTGGTAAACAGAATAGCTTTTGCTCTTCCATAAAAACCTAAAAGGTTTGCTCATCTTTCTTCTTGAGAAGGATTTGCATAGCGGCTATGGTTCCGGAACACACATGGGCTTGTCGCTATTTTCGACCGACAGATGCACCTCCGGCTCAGGAGGTGCTTGATCTCTTTGTCTCTGCTCACGGAACAGCATTAACAGCTTCTGAGCCTTCTCTTTTCCTCTTGATGTGCCGTTGACGGAAATAGACACCAATGCCGGAATCACCCCTTCCTTGAGGACCATCTGACTGCATTTCTCGCTCCCGTTACACAACATATAGAGACATGAGACAGCTTGCTCCTGCTCAATGGGTTGTTCAGCCTCCAAAATTGTTGCTAGTGCACTGATAAGACTTAAATTCGACATCATTTCATCTCCGGCAGAACTACTTGATCCCAAGTTTATCAAAACAGCTATACATTTTTCTGTCCACATTTGGTCACCAGAGTCCGCAAGAAGGGATTGGAGACCACTGCTAATACCAGCTGAAATAAGTTTCGGTATATTTGACTGGACACCCGATAGATTGTACAGGGTGTGGAGGGCATCAAGCTTGCATTGGGTTTCAACATCGGCTCGAAGGAGCTGGGTTAAGAAAGAGACAGCCGGGCTTGTTCCAATAATAGGCTTGGCTTCTTCAAGGCAGGAGAGATTCAGATACAGGGCTGCCGCAGGTCCTTGAGAACTGGGATTGGAGATCATTTCCTCCAGCAACGAAATTACCCCTGATGCTAACATCGTTTCCTTGTTTCTGGAAAAGAAAAATCAACGAAATAGAAATTATTCTTAAGTTTCCAAGGTTTAGAGAAGCATAAAAGAGAACCCAAAATTGTGACATGTTACTCAGAAATGTGGCACACAAGACGCAGACCATTCAACACATTCCAAGTGAGAAATGAAGAATCAACATCTAACACAGATCATTATAAGTAATCCAATATCTCCCTGATCTCAACAAAATGTCCAAGCACCCATTACTGCAGGGACAAATCTACAATTGTCCGCTCTTCCACGAAGAAATCTAAGCAGATACTGCTTAACCCTGACTTAATCCTTCAAGCCAGTTGCTACGCTCAACGCAATAAAAGAAGCATTCAAGCTACTACATGAATCTATAACTATATTCAGCCAACAGAAGATTACATGAAAAGAAAGAAATCTAATTGTGTCTGGTGAAGGATGTTATGAAGAATACTAGTCCAAGGAATAAGAGTTCAAAGCCAATGCATCATTCTCTACACCCATGACTCAAGTTCACTAACAATGTCTTCAATCTGAAAAGAACACACCTAAGTGATGTACACAAAACATCATGACCAAGGAATGCAATTTGCACCAACCAGGAAAAGATACTGCAAAAGGGCCTTAAAGGATGATTACCTGACAACCAATAGATTGTGGAACAATGTCTTCAACACGCCTAAGACTATCCATGAGAGCACATCTTGCCTTTTCAAATTTTGAGGGCACAGAATCCCCAGTAATAGCCTGAATGATAAAAACAATATGACCATTATACAAAGAACACAATTTACACACAATCTCACCACGAATGAAACAAATTTAAATACCAAAAGAGAAATCTATTCATCTATAGTAGAAGGGTTGTTTAGTCGACATGTTGGAGTGGCAATAACTGCATAAACTACAATTGCAATATTGAGGGAATACCTACCAAGTAAAGTTTACTACATTCTACGCAATGCTGAAGAACATTCTTAGATTTTTCAGGTGCTACATGTAATGAACATAAAGCTTGGATACCAGACTTGCTCCTAGGTCGCGCTGCTTCCAAAGAAGGAAATATTGACATTATTTTGCAATAAATTGCAGAGAGTGCCTTGCACAACTCTCTGTGCAACTGCAGAAGAAAACAAAAACAGTCAACCAATGATCTACGATGATAAACCATAAGATAAAATCAAAAGGTGATATTCAGAGGACCCATGGTGGCAGTTATCAAAAGTGACAACTTCAAAAATAATGTGCAAACATACAATTCTAGTCTTTAATCAAATATAATGCCCAAGTCTTCAATCCATTTCCAAATGGTTCAAGTTCTAATTACTAGAACAACGGACTAGACCTATATAAATGGCAATGGGAACTAAAAGTTCCCCGATGTGGGACACTACGAGTCTCAAAACTCTAACAGACATGAGTGTGGCTGCTTGCCTCTGCTGGCTCGTTTGGTAGGTATATGCATCATAATCCCTTCTTCAATGTGTACGTTGAGCTTTTCACTTCACCTGGGAACTCCTAAAGTTTATAATAACAAGGAAGAAGTGGAGAGTAGTGTTGCTGATGATGATAGTGAAACCAACTCTAAAGATGACCCCCTTGAATTGTTCGAATCAGCGTGGCTTATGACATCGTCCGGAAGAACTTTGGGAAAAAACGTGCCACGTTTGGTTTCATTCATTTTTTGACAAAAGTAACACGGTTTTAACCACTCTTTTCACGAATAACAAAAAATTGTGCAAAAAGAATGCTATTCTTGAGAAATGGTTATATATTTTGCTAGTTTTGTTAATGTGAAACATTAAGGTAATTTTTAATGTTTTAGAAATTGGTAAATATACATAGATACAAAAATGGCAAGTGTTATTTGGCTGTCCAATTCCGTAAACCTTGGGAGTGAGTAGGATTCTTTGTGTTATGATAGAGGAATGAGCATCAGTTGGTTCTGTACTTTAGTTTTGGCATCATCAAGAAATGCAGTGTCTGTAAATGAAATGTTACATTAATCGTTTGTGGAATTTACAAAACCCACCGAGTGTGCTCTCAAAATTTGCAAAGCAAAACTTTTCTCTTCCATCATTCTCATTAGCACTTATCGTCTCTTCACTCTCAAACGATAGAAATTATGTCAGATGCGACTAACAGGGGTTACATATCAATAACTAGCAAGGTTGGAGTTTTATTTTTGCGATTGAAAACGGCTCTAATCGGCTCTCTAACTGCGAGGAGTGGCTTAAGCTTGCTGTTGAGGTACTTGGAGCAATGTTTTGGGAGTGACTGTTTAAAAGAATTGAGGCATGCAATATATTATACATACATGCATGTTGATTCTTGTAACTCCTTGGAATGGAAAAAAAGACGTCAGCTAGATCTTTTACATAAATGAAATGCAGTGGCTGTAAATGAAATGTTAAATTGATCGTTTGTGGAATTTACGAAATCCACCGAGTGTGCTCTCTCATCGTCTCTCTAACTGCGAGCAGTGGCTTAAGTTTGCTGTAGATGTACTTGGAGCAATGCTCTTGGGATGGACTGTTCAAAATAATTGAGACATACAAATTAGAGGGCTAATTATAACAATTCCCATATATTATACATACATGCATGTTGATTCTTGTAACTCCTTGGAATGGAAAAAAAGACGTCAGCTAGAGAGATCATCTCTCTTTACATAAATTATTTATGATCAATTAAGTAATCAACTGCTGCATAATTTCATAGCATTAAATGCCCGAAATGAAAAAACTCTGGCTCATGTCAAGCAATATTTTCTTAAAACATATTGCTTGACTCTTCCTTTAGTTTGTTTAGTCTAGATTATATCATTAGTAAAACGGAAAAAAGAGTCCAACAATTTTTTTTTTTTAATTCTTTTGCATTTTTGTTTTGATCTTTCAAACACTATCACTAAGACACTCAGGGTCTTTAATTTATTAAAGTTCACAACAGTCATTTTTGCCATATCTACGTATGGTTCTCCTATAGGCCCACTCTCATACAACAAATCAAGGACTCGTTTTTCTGTTTTTAAAGGAGGGACAACTGGTGGCAAATTACGGTTATCCATTCTTTTCGGGGGCTGGGAAGACTCATTGAGGCATTTCAGCCTCCCCCTGACCACAAATGAGATTTGATTTACAGTTCTCCTCCAACCGAGTGAAGACTATATATTAATGGATGAACTGCTAATTTAGTCCCGGAATTATTACCTGAATGAAATTTAGGTCCCTAGACTTTTATTTCAGAAAAATCAGTTATTGAAATATAAAAATTTGCCATTTACATCTCTAATATTAACTTCGATGCTACGATATTCAACTTTCTGTCAATTTAAGTCAAGTTACTTGAATGTGATACATATTGGAGGGTAGATTGGTAATTTTACATAAAGAAATAGTGTATATGGAGTTAACTTTGGAGAGTAAATTAGACGTTAGATTCACAACCTATATGAAATGTTAAGGGCTTATAGCAAGAAAATGACGGTATTACATCATAAAGTGTGTTAAGTGACTTAAGTTGTCGAAAAATTGGATAAAATAGCTTTGAATATAATAGTATGGATGATATTAGCAATTTTTAATGAATTTAAGGACTTATTTTACAGCAAAAAATAATTCATGGATCTAATTTTCATTGAAGTGATAATTTAGAAACTAAATCGACACTTCACCCTATATTAATTTAGGGTAAAGTACAAAAAAGTACATCAACTATTGGTGTCACGACACTTTCATACCTCATATTTTAAAATTGACAATGTCATACCTCATCTTACAAATTTGTGCCAATGTTAGACCTCCGTCAGTTTTTCTGTTAATTTCTCTGTTAAATGCTGACGTGGCCCGACACGTGTCCCACTCACTAATCCAATTGGATTAAAAATAATAAAAAATATTTTTAATAATTAAATATTCAAGAATTAAAAAAAAAATATATATATATATATATATTAAATCTCTCTCACTCTCTCCTCTCTCTCCCCCTTTCTCGCCTCTCTCTATTCTCTGCAACCCAAAACCCCTTCCCACCCGTCCTCCACCACCCTCTCTCCTTTCTCTCTCTTTCCCCCCTTTCTCGCCTTTCTCTCTTCTCTGCATCCCAGAAGACCCAGACCCCAGAGGAACAAAACCCACTTTCCCATTGCAGCAATTGTTGCTGCAATTCGAAAACCCCAAAACGAAGAACCCAATATTGCTCGACTACTCCGCCTCCCTCGCTCTGCCACCCTCGATCTGGAGATCGCAACGACACTGTTCCACGACATCATCTTCCTCGACTACTCCACCTCCCTCACTCTGCCACTCTTGATCTGCACCTGGACGCCCAAATCAATGGTGTCGACCAGAACTCGGACTGGGAACCGGTCTGATTTGCGACGAAGTCTGAGTCTATAGGGGTAGTGGGGGAGGGGGGGGACACGGGTCAATAAGCAAGAGTTTGGGGGACGGGTTAATGGATAAGAGTTTGGCGGATGAAAAAACCCAGGTGGGTTTGGGAGGTTCTGGGCACAGCGAGAGAGAGAACTGGGGAGGAAGGAGACTACGGTGGAGATGAGAGGGAGATGCGAGAGAGAGGGGAGAGAAAGGATGGTGGAAGACGGGTGGGAAGGGGTCCCGGGGGGTTGGGTGGGAAGGGTTTGGGTCTTATGGGATGAAGAGAAGAGAGAGAGGCAAGAAAGGGTGGGAGAGAGAGATTTAATATATATATTTTTTAATTTTTGAATATTTAATTATTTTTTAATCCAGTTGGATTAATGAGTGGGACACGTGTCGAGCCACGTCAGCATTTAACAGAGAAATTAACTGAAAAACTGACGGAGGTCTGACATTGGCACAAATTTGTAAGATGAGGTATGACATTGTCAATTTAAAAAATGAGGTATGAAAGTGTCGTGACACCAATAGTTAAGATAGTTTTTTGTACTTTACCCATTAATTTATGTTTCAAAAACAATATTGTATAAATGTAGAAATCATGCTAGGTTTTTGTATAGCATGGGCACAGGTATAAGAGGTTGAGCTTTCGCTAAGGTGATGCCAAACTTCTCTTCCATGTTCAAGGTCTCTGGTACTACTCTATCTTCAACCTTCCAATGGTCAAACGAGTTAATAAGCGAGCCCAACATCAAATTCAACATTCTCATTGCCAATGGTAATCCAGGACATATTCTCCTCCCACCACCAAACGGAATAAGCTCAAAGTTTCCTCCTAAAAAATCAATTTCTAATCCAAAAACCTCTCCGGCATGAACGAGTTTGGATCGTCCCAAATGTTGGGATCTCTCCCTATGGCCTATGCATTGACCAATACGAGTTTGGATCAAGGGTCATGATTAATCCAACGTTAAAATATTAGACGTTAGATTCACAACCTATATGAAATGTTAAGGACTTATAGCAAGAAAATGACGGTGTAACTTTGCATATAATAGTAGGGATGAAGTTAGCAATTCTTAATGAATTTAAGAACTTATTTTACCGAAAAAATAATTCATGGACTTAATTTTCACCGAGGTGATAATTCAAAAACTAAATTGACACTTCACCTTATTTTAATTTATGTTTCTAAAACAATATTGTAGAAAAGTAGAAATCATGCTAGGTTTTTGTGTAGCACGGGCACAGCTATGAGAGGCTGAGCTTTCGCTAAGGTGATGCCAAACTTCTCTTCCATGTTCAAGGTCTCTGGTACAACTCCATCTTCAAGCTTCCAATCGTCAAACGAGTTAATAAGTGAGCCCAACATCAAATTCAACATTCTCATTGCCAATGGCAATCCAGGACATATTCTCCTCCCACCACCAAACGGAATAAGCTCAAAGTTTCCTCCTAAAACATCAATTTCGAATCCAAAAACCTCTCCGGCATAAACGAGTTTGGATCGTCCCAAATGTTGGCGTCTCTCCCTATGGCCCATGCATTGATCAATACCTGTGCACCTTTTGGTACAATATACCCGCAGATTTCAACATCTACTTCGGCTTTTCGGGGAAGTAAAAATGGAACGACTGGGTGCAATCTGAAGGTTTCTTTGATTATGGCTTGTAAGTAAGGGAGTCGAGCAATGTGTGACTCCTCAACTGGCTTTCCTTTGCCGATGATTTGCTTCAGCTCTGCTTGTACTTGTGATAGTTTTTCCGGGTTGCGGAGCAGCTCAGCCATTGCCCATTCCAATGTGCCTGAAGTTGTGTCCGTGGCTGCACTAAACAGATCCTATTTAAGACCAAATGGCTAAGTAGTCTAAAATTTTAATATATCAAAATGACGAGAATAGAAGAAAAACTGATTACAAACTATTATTTTTATTCGCCACTAATTAGTAGTGGCGTTCTCTTCACTTATAAGTAAGAGGTCTTAAGTTTAAATATCAGAAATAACGAATTCATTACTAATTTATTCTCATTTCTCATAGTATAAATATATCATTACAAAAAAAATATCATTCTTATTGTATTAACTAAAAGAAAGGAAAATTTTAAAAATTTGATAAGACGCTATAGCAAAAGGACTACATTTGTCAAGACTTCATTCCCACAAAGGTTACCGTAGGTGTATTCATAAAGATCTAATCTTGAAACAAACGGGACATGAAAGCAATTTTAATCATAATTATATTCCATAAAAAAATTAAATGAAGCTAATATAATGATCCACCACCGTCCCCCACACCACCCCACCAAAACCCACCTTCCTCCTTTTTATTAGATTATCTTTGACATGGATCTTTACAAATCTGGATACGCAAAAGTCAACGAGGGCACAACTGTGAAAAAATTAAAGTCCCGCGCTCGAGAACGGTGTTATCCTATATAAAGATCTACTTGTTATATAATTATTATAATATTATAAGGTATAATTCATTCACTAAATTTTAATGCTCTCAATAATTCTTCCTTGAATACAAAAGGCCCCAACAAAACGCAAGTATAGTTCTTCACCCCCTCAAGAATTGTAGGCAACAATGGATAGCCTTCGTGAAGCGTCAATTGTTTATGTACACCTCAAGTGATGTACATGATGGCCAGTTTAGAAGGTACATATAGCGACACTACTCATAATCAACAAACAAGTAAAAGACCAGCAACAACAAAAATTAAATGATCGAAGAAAACCTAGTTACTTTTTAATTCATCAAATCAAGAACAATATATAGTAGGAACTAACCAGAAACAAATGCTTAGTTTCAGCCATGTTCAAGTCCTCGCTTTTCTCTTCACAGAAGTTTATAAGTGTATCCAACATATCTTTAGTTGTGACATAATCATGTGATTTTCTTGACTTCAACCTTTGAGTGATCATGCAGGTCAAAGAGGGCGATCATCTTCTGGAAGTGATTGGCTAGACGACGCCGTATTCCCATGGGATCGATCTTCTTAAGTACAGGAAAATAGTCAGCCAAGTTTGGCTTCCCAATCTCTTCCATAATACCCCACACCAACTCCTTATACTCTCTAGCCGTCTCACTATTCGGGTCCGCCAAATCCACAGAGAATACGGTACGCGACATCAAGTTGAGCGTAGTTTTGAAAGCAGCACTTCCTATATCAACCGGCTTCACCTTTTAAAACGCTTTAGTTGACCTCGGATATGAGCTCTTGAACTTTTAGGTGACGGTTGGCTTGATTGGCGTCGAGAACTTTGGTGGCAAACAAATGCGAGTTGCATATTTTTCGAAGGTTTCTCCATGCCGCTGAAACCGGTATCCAGGGCATGCCGTACTTAGCATGGTCACAGGCCTGGATGGCATCTGGGATGGTTCGGTTGCAAAAGAACTGATCACGGGTCCGGAGGACTTCTTTAGCTACGATTGATGAAGAAACTACAACCGTCGTAACATGTCCAAGTCGTAAAGACAAAATGGGGCCATGGCGTTGTGAAAGGTTAGTGAGAGAGATGTGGGGTTTGCTACCAAGCTCCAAAAGATTGCCAATGATAGGGAAGTGGGTTTGGTCCTGGTGGAAGCCTAGTGAGACTATATCTTCTTCCTGCAAACGAGTAATAGATAGCATGAACCGAGATCCAGATGACTACGAGGAACAATACCATGCAACTCAAAAAGTCCATTTGATCTTACTCTCTCTTTCTTCTCCTAACCCTTGATCTTAATCTGTTACGATTATTGACAAAAAAAAAAATAGAAATAAATATAGATGTGTGTGCATATAAACCTAGCAGTGTCCCCCCGATTTGCGCTAGTTATACATGCACTCATGTGATTGTCCCACGCAAAATCTGCTTGGTATATTTCGGGATTCTCTTCAGATCTCTTCCTCCTAATTCATCAAGTTCTAGGATCGGGACCATTAAAATCTGATTCAACGGTTCAAGTTATTATAACTTTTAAAGTATGCCCATATTTGTAACCGTTGGATCAAATTTCAATAGTCCGGATCGCCAAACTTGGTGGATTAGGAGGAAGGAATCTGGAAATGATCCCCTTCCATTTCCTTCAAGATATAGTTTAAGAAGTCAAACATGTTAACTATTATTATGCAGTTAATGTAAGGGTGATCATCACTTTAAATTATTTAATAAACAATATATAATGTGATTATTAATGATTTAATTATTATTTAAGTGTTAATTAATGTATTTATTTTTTATTATTAGTGACATATCACATGATTTACAAACTGGTGAGACGTGGTTCTTTCATAACCACATCAAGCAAATTACGTGATATGAAAATTTGACCTCTTCATTATTTTAAAAACATTTAAAAGTCATAAATGTGGACAAAGAGATAAATTTTTGTTTTTCTTTATAAAGAGATCATTTAAATTAAGGAAAACTAACGTAAAGTTCATAAAAAAACTTCCCTTTTAATGAAAAACACTTTTTAAAGTATAGTAAATAGTATCAGAGAAAGATATAAATGTAATTTTTCATTAAAAATAATGTACCCGAATTGTTTCGTTAAACCTTCCTTTAAATTACTGTGAACATCCATCACCAAACTTTTTACTTTGTCTTTTTTTGTTGAAAACCTGAATGTCCAGTCTCTCATTAAGTAGAAACTAGAAATAGAAGGGAAGGTAAGGCTTCAGTCAACAAATTAAAGGAGTTGTTGAGCTGCCAGTCAACTTACCTGTAGGAATCGCTTTTGTTCACTAGGCTTTAAACTCCGGTTGGAATTCTATGGCTACAGTAATTCTTCAATATGGAGGGCCTGCATTCGGTGCGCCTTGTCCTAGACAACAAGGGTGTATACAAGTACCGGTGTCTGAGCACATACATACAAAAACAATTACAAAATATCAATGTTGAAGCACACAAGCATGCATTTGCTCCCACTTCCTCCCCATATTCTTTATATAATCCCACAAAAAATTACAATATATATTAGGGGTGCAACTCGGGTGGGTTAGGCGGGTTGGAAGGTCAGTCCAATCCTAACTTAACTTTTACAATTCGGGATTGGGTTTGGGTTGGGTTTTAATCGGATTCATTTGGGCTCGGATTTAATTGGATTTGAGTTTACTTAGGTTGGGTTCGGGTTGCCTAACTTTTTCAAGTTTTAATCGGGTTCATGCAAAGTTTGAATTAAAATACAAGAAATACCAAAGCTAGTACCCTAAAAAAAAAAAAAAAAAAAAAAAAAAAAAGACTTCATTGTCCAAAGCTAGTACCCAACTCAAGTCTTGTCCCTTGAAGCTCCTGCAGAAAAACAAAGCTAGTACCCAACTGGACATAGATTACAAGCCTCCTTCGAGCAAAAATCAAAGTGTGGCTGCCAGAAAAACAATTGCTTTTTGCAACTTATGCACTTTTCTATCATAATCCATCAAAAGTCACTAGTGAATCCTCCATGAAGGTGCAAAGGTCATTGAGAAGCATGTTGCACAACTCAACCCAATTGGGTTTGGTTAATCAGGTTAGGTTGGGTTGAGTTGGTTTGGGCAAATGATCAACCCAACTCAACCCAATCAATGAACAGGTTGAAATTGGGTTGGGTTCGGGCAGGTTATAACTAAAAAAAACTCGCTTGTTTGGGTTTAAAGTCGGGTTGGACATGGACGGGTTTGGGTTGACCCAACCCAAGTTGCACCCCTAATGTATGTATGTATGTATGTATGTATGTTATGTATGTATGTATATTTCCTTTTTGTTGAGGGATCAGAAACGAATTTTTTTCAACAATTCAAATTGTCTATGTCTAAGTACATTATTCACAGATCATCTTTGCAAAAAATTAGACAAATCTAAAACCATTAAAACATCCAATTGTAATGAAGAAAATAGATGAATACTATTTTCCAAGGAAACACTAATATGACTATTATTTAATCTAAACGATCAAATTATCGGATTTTGCTGATTTTTTTTGTAGAGATTATCTTTGAGAAATACCTAAAAGATGAACAGTTGAATCACAAAATACCAAGATGTCTATTCTAAATTTATGTAACCAATTTAACTAAATCCATGTCTCTACAAGCATGATTCTTATTAAGAGTAAAAATTAGGGTGAAGTGTCGATTTAGTCCCTGAACTATCACCTTAGTAAAAATTAGGTCCCTGAATTATTTTTTCGATAAAATAAGTCCCTAAATTCATTCAAAATTGCTAATTTCATCCCTAATATTGTATTCAAAGCTAATTTATCCATTTTTTCGCCAATTTAAGTCACTTATTGACACACTTTAGAGGGTAATACCGTCATTTTCTCGCCTATAAGCCATTAACATTTCATATAGGTTGCAAATCTAATATCTAATTTACCTCCCAAAGTTAACTCATACACTATTTCTTTATGTAAAATTACTAATCTACCTTCAATGTGTATCACATGCAAGTAACAGGACTTAAATTGACGGAAATTTGAATATAGTAACTTCGAATCTAATATGAGGGATGTAGTTGGCAGATTTTTATAATTCAAGGACTAATTTTTCAGAAAAATTAGTTTAAAGACCTAATTTTCACTCATGTGATAAATTATGGACTAAATTGGTAGTTCACCCCTAAAAAATTATATGGTAGAAACATGAAAGTAGATATGAAGCTGGGTTCTTCTATATTTCTATAACATGGGAACAACTCTGAGAGGTTGAACTTTCTGTAAACTGAGGCCAAACTTTTAATCCATGTTCATGATCTCTGGTGTAACTCCATCTTCAAGCTTCCATTTATCGAAGCAGTTAATAAGCGAACCCAACATCAAGTTCACCATTCTCATTGCCAATGGCCAGCCAGGACACATTCTCCTCCCACACCAAACGGGATAAGCTCAAAGTTCTGGCCGGTTGCATCAATTTCCAATCCTAGAAACCTCTCTGGCACGAATGAGTCCGGGTTGTCCCAAATTCCAGGATCTCTTCCTATGGCCCATGCATTGACAAACACTTGTGCACCCTTTGGTACAACGTACCCGCCGATTTCAACGTCTGTTTCGGCTTTTCGGGGAAGTAGTAAAGGCGCTGCTGGGTACAAACGGAAGGTCTCTTTTATTATTGCTTGTAAGTAAGGAAGTCGAGCAACGTCGGATTCCTCAACCGGTTTTCCTTTCCTGATGACCTGCTTCAACTCCGCTTGAGCTTTTGACAGCTTTTCCAGGTTGCGGAGTAGCTCAGCCATTGCCCATTCCAATGCGGAGGATGTTGTATCTGTTCCGGCAGTAAATAAGCCCTGTAATGAACGATTAAAGAGAAGTGGAAAGTCATTTGTCCAACATACATATTGAAGAAGCACTACAAGAAAAACGAGTATGTGACAAGTGACAAGCCTAAAGATCACTTAATTTGTATGTAACAAAATCAAAATCGTGACATTGTACACAGTATGATCAGCACATAGAGATATTCACAAGATCTCCATCAGGGTGGATCCACTAAGGGGCAGAGTGGGTTAGACCCTCTTAACTATGACAAATCGCCGTGGAAGTCCTAAGTGCTACCACTTTAAAGCTTAGAGTTTCCATTGAGACATTGTCCTCCAACTGCTTGATGAAATGCTCAATGAACTTTGGGTAGGACATGTTGTGTTCAACTCTTTTGTTGCCGATTCGCAGCTTTGCACGCAAGAAAACCAAGTCATTTTATATATATATTTTTTTTAATAATAAGATTTGGCTACAGAAATAGAAAAACTTAAGCTTTTAGTCTAGGCATATATAAAACTCAAATCTTTAAAATCCTAGATCTTAAAAATTTCAATTTTTTTTTTTTTTTTTTGTATTGATGATAAAGTTATAACACAACATTTTTAAATATGAATTGCACCGTGAACGATTGTCACTTGTAACGAATAATTGTAGTTTATAATGTTATTTGTTTCATGAATTATGAATGATGAACTCATAATTTGATTGTTAAAGCTATTTATTTTCTGAATAAATATTTGTAAATTTTTACAGGTGACCACTGGGGCAGGCCTTAGGTGAGCAGCCCTCCTAGTGTGCAATGGAGGTCACTAACCTAGGCCATGAGCCTTCTTGATCGCTCATTGATCCCATCCAGGTAATTATTTGTAGGATCCCACACGTTTCAATTATATCACTTACATAAACCTGTCCCCCACCCCCCCCCTCCCCCAACGCTTCCCCGATGTGAGACTTATATCTATACGTTTCAACAATACTAATCACTTAGTTGGGAACAGCTCTTAGAGGCTGAGCCATCTGTAAGGTCAACCCAAACCTCTCCTCCATGTTCATGGTCTCTGGTACAACTTCATCTTCAAGCTTCCAATCAAATGAGTTAATAAGTGACCCCAACATCAAGTGTAACATCCGCATTGCCAACGGCAGCCCAGGACATATTCTCCTCCCACCACCAAAAGGAATAAGCTCGAGATTCCGGCCTAAAACATCAATTTCCGACCCCAAGAACCTCTCCGGCTCAAATGAGTTGGGACTGTCCCAAATGCTAGGGTCTCTGCCTATGGCCCATGCATTGACAAACACTTGTGCACCCTTTGGTACATGTACCCGCAGATCTCTACATCTTTTTCGGCCTTTCGAGGTAGTAGTAACGGCACTGCTGGGTGCAACCGGAAGGTTTCTTTGATTATTGCTTGTAAGTAAGGGAGTCCAGCTATGTCTGATTCTTCAACTGGTTTTCCTTTGCCAATGACTTGATCCAGCTCTTCTTGAGCTTTCGATAGTTTTTTCGGGTTGTGTAGTAGCTCAGCCATTGCCCATTCCAGTGTAGCTGAAGTTGTATCTGTGCCCGCAGCAAGTATAACCTATATATTCACAAGTTGTAGCAACACACCATTGTAATGAATAACCAAAAACAAATGGTTACTGGCTTAGTTTACATGCCACTAATCATAATGGACTCTCCTACACGCTGTCAATTAACTAGTTGGTCTAGTGACATTCGTTAGTCAGTGAGGGTTGGCTTAGAATACTTAGTAGTGCATGCTAGCTATTTTGTGAGATTAGAGGGTTCTGAGGTTCTGAGTTCAAATTTTCATGAACGAAAATGTTATTGTGATGTTGAATAAATGAAAGATACTACACTAGTAGAGAACATTTTACGGTAAATAATATAGAGTAGGTAGGGAGGAGGGACTAACCAGAAACAGGTGTTCCATTTTGGTCTTGTCCATTTCCTCACAATTCACTTCACTGATGCTTAAAAGGGTATCCAACATGTCATCCCTTTGACATAATCATGAGCTTTCCTCGATTCTAACCTTTGTGCAATGATTTGGTCGAAGAGTTGTTCCATCTTGAAGAAGTGATTAGTCATCCGCCGCTGAATGCCTTGGGGGTCAAGTTTTGCAAGCACAGGAAAGTAGTCCCCCAAATTTGGCTTCCCGGCCTCCTCCATCAAACCCCACACAGTCTTCTTAAACTCTTTAGCTGTCTCACTCCTCGGATCGGCTAAATCCATAGAGAACATCTTACGCGATAACAAATTCAGTGTCGTACTAAAAGCAGCCCTGCCAATCTCTATTGCATTGCCCTTTACCTTACTTGCATTGACATCAGCTATGAGCTCCTGGACTTTTTTGTGCCGGTTGGCTTTCCTTGCGTTGAGAACGTTTACTGCGAACAATTGGGAGTTGCATATTTTTCGGAGGCTTCTCCATTTGGCTGAAGCCGGTATCCAGGACAAGCTGTGCTCTCCCATGTAGCAGGCTCGGACTGCACTGGGGACCGTTCGATTGCATAAGAATTCGTCGTGCGTTCGTAGAACTTCTTTCGCCGCGGTTGATGAAGAAACGACCACGGTTGTTACTTGGCCGAGTTGCAAAGTGATTACGGGGCCATAGATTTGGGAGAGCTTAGTGAGAGAGAGATGGGGTTTGTTTCCAAGCTCTAAGAGATTTCCAATGATGGGAAATGGCTTTGGCCCCGGTGGAAGAACAGGCCTTGTGGAATTGGGATTGGATTTGCTTCTTTTTGCTAATGAATTGAAAGCTTGGATTGTGATCCAGAAGAAAAGGAGAAGACATAGTCCCATAAAACAGAAATCCATCTCTCTCTCTCTCTCTCTCTCTCTCTGTGGGTGTTTGCGTAATGTGCAAGGATGGGACTATATAGTCCTGTTGGAGCGGTGCTATACATGTCAATGACATCAGTCACGTAGACACATTTTAGGAATGGGATAATGAATATGAGGACACATTTTATTTTGAGTTTTTTTATTAAATTCTGATGCATGGTATGTATGAGAATTTAGACAGTTGATTACAAAAATAAAGAAAATATATTAATGCTCTATTGTTACAATACATGTCATACATCGAAGTATGGTACAAGCTGCGTTTCTTTTCTTGGGAAATGGAGATATGGACAAGGGTGATCAATTTGCATATATTATTGAACAAGTGAATGCTGTATCTTTGTACTTGCCTTCTACCATGTTCGAGATGTGAGAGTTATTGCACTTGATGGCCCGTGAGGGGTACAGACAATTATGACAAGGAGGCAACAACCAGGGAAAGAAATGGAGATATGGACAAGAGTGATCAATTTGCATATATTATTGAACAAGTGGATGCTGTATCTTTGTACTTGCCTTCTACCATGTTCCAGATGTGAGAGTTATTGCACTTGATGGCCCGTGAGGGGTACAGTCAATTATTTGTCATACGGACGGCGGAGTTTTTTTTTTTTTTTTTTTTTTTAAGAACCAAGACCGAAGCCGAAGAGACAGGGAGGCGGGCTCTTCGGCGGGCAACAACCAGGGAAAGCAAACACAGAGCAGTGATGGCGGAACAAAGGCAAGAGACACTGCACCAAGTGCAAGGGTGTCAACCCCATCACTACCGCAACAAAATTAAGGAGGACAAGGGAGATCATCCTTATTCAGGACATGCACCAACGAAGATGGGGATGGTTAACCCAGGAGGAACCGCACATCTCCGTATTAGACCTTGACGCCACCGGTGCGCCGCCATATTGGCTAATCTCGGAACCCAAGACCAGTGGCATCTCTGAAAGACATCCGTAAGCCTCAAAATCCTTGTCAACATAGGGAACGCCTCCCAGTTGCTAGAAGAAATATCATTCAACAAACAAGAAATGTTCTCCTTGGAGTCCGACTCCACAACAATTTGCTGCAGATATTAAACGTAAAACTTTCACTTTTCTTTCAGATATTAAACTTTAACTTTTCTTCTAGATAGTTTTTTTAAAAGCAGTTTCAATTATTGAAAAGTACTTATCAAACGAGTATGTGTTTCCGATCACGACAATTGGCATGAGAAAATGTAAGTTTTTTCTTACATTAAAAAATTAAGTGACTTTATATGTGCTTATAAAGATTATATTATTTCCCTTATAGCCAATTAATCTTGAATTGAAACCTCAACTTCCTTAATTGTTATTTAACTGGTGCAAGACCAAATTATCAAGTCAATTAGCGAGCAATCTTGCTTTATAGCGTTCGATAAAAAAGAGTGGTGTTATTCACAAACCCTCTCACACACTCTCTTAATCTCTGACCATCTATTAGAATGAGTTAAAAAAGATCAATGAACAAAAATTAACAAGGATATGTAAGAGTTAACCACTTGAAGTAATCATACTCATAAGACTATATATATTTCCTACCTCAAGGGTAAATTCGAAACCAAAATCCATAAATTACAGGGGGCCGGGTATGTAAATTCCGCTCTTTCAAAGTAATAAAAGAAAGGGTAAATGACAAAAAACTACCTCAACTATTGGTCTGACGACACTTTCATATCCGATCTTTTAAAAATGACAATGTCATACCTCATCTTACAAATTTGTGTCAATGTCAGACCTCCGTCAGTTTTTCTGTTACTTTTTCTGTTAAATGCTAACATGGCCAGAGACAGGACCCACTCACTAATCCAACTAGATTAAAAAATAATTAAATATATTTTTAATAATTAAATATTCAAAAATTGAAAAAATTAAAATTAAAAAACTAAACAAATAAAAAATGTCTAGGGATGTCGGCTTTCCTTTCTTCCACCCGCACCAACCCTCTCTCTCTTCTCTTTATCTTCTCCCACATCTCTCTCCCACTTTAACTCCCTCTTCTCTCTGCACCACCAGCGCTAACCAACCCTTCTCTCTCTCTTCTCTTTATCTTTTCTTGCATCTCTCTCTCACTCTAACTCCCTCTTCTCTCTGCAACCACCAACGCCGACCAACCCTTCTTTCTCTCTTCTTTTTATCTTCTTTCGCATCTCTCTCCCACTCTAACTCCTTCTTCTCTCTACAACCACTGACGCCGACCAACCCTTCTCTCTCTCTTCTCTTTATCTTCTCCCGCATCTCTCTCCCACTTTAACTCCCTCTTCTATCTGCACCACTGGCGCCGACCAACCATTCTCTCTCTCTTCTCTTTATCTTCTTTTGCACTCTAACTCCCTCTTCTCTGTGCATCCATCGGTGCCAACCAACCTTTCTCTCTATATCTCTTCTCTTTATCTTCTCCTACATCTCTCTCCCACTCTAACTCCCTCTTCTCTCTGCACCACCGGCGCCAACCAACCCTTCTCTCTCTATTCTCTTTATCTTCTCTCACATCTTTCTCCCACTCTAAC